GCATGAGGCCAGCACACTCCCGTTAGCAAAGTCCCCTCTATTGTACGACAGCTCAAGGTTGACTGCCATTCACTCTTATGGATTATCTTAGTTCCATTTTGCTCCTCGCGCTGAAGGTCTTTGAGCTTTCTAAAAGATGTGTTTAAAAAGGTTTAACTTATTTGTCTACTCAGGCACAGCTTCAGCACAAATATGATGCCTAGCTCATGACTAAGAGAGTGCAACAATGATTTGTAACAGTCAATACAAGGCTCTCAGGTAAATTCACGTGTTGAATTGGACAGTTTACTGCCTGTTGTGTTTAAGAAATCTGTTGAACAGTGCAGTGCTGGGATTGTTGAGCTGATATCTCCTGTTTTTTTTTATCTGGCTGTATCTGTTCATTGTAAATCACTGGTTTTGTGTTGTACTGTCTAGGCACTAGAAGCAGTCAGTTATTCTCAAGTCTCTAAAATAATACTTTCATAACGCTGAATGTACAGTAAATAGAAGACATTCTTTACGTTGAAAATGCTGTAACTTGCTGCAACACATCGAAGGAAGCTTTGAATTCTGTGAACCGAAACATAAGCTTAAATTAACTGAAGCACTAGTTTGTGAAACATCTCTTCCTGTGTTTATGTAATTTGTTCTGAAACTCTACTACTATACGACATCAGTGGCTGATGTCCTCCCCTGCTTGTTCATGCCTTGTAAATGTGAAAGTCATTTCACACCAGAATGCCCCAGATTAATAATTTTCACACAAATCAAGGCGCACTCTAAATTCCCATGTGCACTTGGATATCTCTGAGGAGCCACTGAGGGCTCTAATGGGTTGTGTTTATGATCCGACTAAAACATACCTTCATAGAGGTCCCTATTACAGCCCGTGATGTTTATTTTTCCCATGTCACAAACGGGAGCTGACAGAGTTTCTTTTTGCTGAAAGGTGCTTTCAACCATTGCACCACAATCTTCCTGTCATGAAACAAACATTACTGTGAAAATATTCCTTCTCAAAAGGAAAATGTGTTGCTGTCGTGCTCAAGGTGGCTAAGACTTTTTACTGATTGCATACTTGTCACAGGAGTGGGTTGTTGCTTGTCACTTTGGCCACCTGAAGCTGTTTGCTTTTCTTTTTCCTTTTTTTTGACAAGGCTATTTTCTCTGCAATACATCAGCATGGCACCACATCGATTCTCCTGCATGATAACTGGAGCTTTAATAAGAGCCCATTAATTTTCATTCATAATCCCCAGTGACCAAAACTGTTTCTAATACACTTTCAATTTTCAACTGTGTCTGCATAGTTGGAGTGATTAAATATTATTACTCTTAATATTTTCCAGGGCGTCTCTCACACTCCACATATAAAACGAATACAGGAGAATTTGTCATGGTGACATTTGATATTGTGCTATTCAGACCAGCTCCAAGCAGCCAGGACTTCACAGTATGTGCTGACACACACAGTACAAGGACGGCTGGATTTCATAAACACTGAGAAGGGAACGTTACACAACAGAGTGCCTCTACAAATGTGTATAATAACAGGATTCAAATTACTCATTGTTAATTGTTAATGGTGTTGTTAATGGTAGATTGATGGTTTTATTGTGTGGTTGAAGTGATGAGATAACGACTCATCTTAGCCTGTGTTCCCATTAGTGAATATAATGTAGGAGTCCGTAACATAAGTTTGTTTTTCTTTTTCCTTGTAGACTTTGGGGACACAAAAAGGAGCTGGTCAGAATAATCAATAACTATAAGAGACAAAGAACTGTTTTAAACAATGCAGGTAGATTAAATGCAGTTGTCTCATGAGAGAGCCATCTGAGTGTATCAGGGATTACACAATGATTAGTAAAGAATAAAAAATACAGATCTGCAACTGGTCTACTACGTTAGTTAGTTATGTCTTATTTATTCAGGAAAATCTCATTTGTAAGAGAGACCAGGGTGTGTATTTAGCAAACTAGACTTGAAATATAAAAGTAAAAATCCTTCACTTTCACTCCTATACTCGAAGTGAAGATTGAATAATGCATTAGCTGAAGCAATGTGATTTCGCATTTGCATTATTTGCATTTGAACTTTTGACAGGATGTTACACCCTTTTTGTTTTTCTTTTTTTCTTTTTTTTCGCATTTATCAGGGCTACAAACAAACAACAAGAATAAATTTGGCATTGATGTTATTTGTAATTACTGTCTAAGCATCCTCATCATCATTGTGGTGCTAAATTCTCCTAAGTACAAGATTTCTACCAGAGGAAGACGAGGTACGTCAGAGGTCCAGCAGAATGTCTTGCAGCTGAATTTTGTTTGCATTTCAGCCAATTTCCTATTATTTAATCTCTATTTATATATTCACACATTATACATATTAGAGTGCTGGTTGTTAGCAATATTAATTATTATTATTCACAGAACACAAATAAAATGAAAAATTATAATTATATGTGTTCTCGCAGAATAACGCTGAGTATAGTATATAGGATCAGTCTGTGTCTGGCTATTCCTTCCCTGAACATGCATGTGATCAATCACAAGATTATTATTTCTCACACACTCGCTGTAAGCAAATGCTATTTTTTCGGAGCAAGTCACTTGATAAATGTGTCTCATTTTTTTCACTCAGCTAAGAATGTCTTTACTCTTGAATTGGTAGTTTAGAGCGTCTTTAAGTGTGATTCTTAGAAGTTTGATAAATACGGGAATTGACACAAAACAATCATCACACACACTAAAGTCAAATGTTAAAATTAGATCACAGTCAAAGAGACATTGCACTGATTTTACACATGGATATCAGTTTACCTGATAAGAACAAGAGGGGTACCACACAGGCTGTGACAACAACTGTAATTTCTCATATGGCTTTGTAGCATTTTTGTCAGGTCAGAGAAAAGAACCCACTACACAGACTACACATTGACAACATTATCACACTGTGTCATGAACTTTGAACATGGAGTTTTCATATTTCATATTCACATATTGAACTTACTTCAGTAAACAGTTTCCAGCTGTAAAAACTGTGGGACATTTTCCAAATAGTCCTTGTTCCAACCCTCTGATACAACCCACAGGAGCGTTTCCTCAATTATAAGATATGCCTCATGTAAACTGTTAAAAATCACTGTTAAATACATAAATAACTACCCGTTTCATATTGTGACAATGCTATGGTAAAGGTTTGGTTAGTTTCCATCATTCAAAGTAATAAAACCTAAATTTATCAGGCCTTATTGTCATTACACAGTGTTACTAACCCTCCTGCGACTACCATCTACCATAAGCCCCATATGACGTGATCCAGGAGCCAAACCTAGGACTAGAAGCTAAAAGTCAGGACTTCTTGGCCTGTGCTGCATCAATTTTGACCATTTTGTTTTTTAATCTGTATCTCACAAGTCTCCCGTTTTCATGGAAACACAATACTGTTCCACTGGAGTTGTTCTTTGAAGAGGTCAACTCTCTCTCAGTGTTTGTTTTTGTGGAAAAATCCAGTTAAGATTGAACAGGATGGGCGCTCACTGTGATGTAACTCCATTACATGAGTTGGGATTTAAAACAGCCAGTGAATCCTTTGCATGCTTTAAAAACACGGTTCACCACCAGGACATCACAGGACTGTAGGGACACTTCCTCAAAATCAGAATAATTTTCCTGTGGACAAACATTCAGATGTGCCAGTCTAAAGTACATTATGATATCTTTCAGCATTCAGGCATATAGCATGAAAAGATTTACAGTACACTTGTCCTGTTCCTGTAAACAAAGTGTGCTTTTACGTCAGAAACTAACTGGAGGAGCTGTGGCACACTTTAACGGCTCGATTCGTATTCATCCTCATCGTGCATTAGTGTTTTGAGCTGTCCTGGTTTGTGACCCCCGGGGTGTTAGCTCAGAGCGTTCATATTGCTCTTTAGATGTTAGCTTCAGGTTTATGCCATGATGGCGACTCCTGGCCGCGAGGATCAAATCAGTTCATGAAAAGACATAAATCTGCTTACAGCTGAAAAGTGAGGGGTTTATCCTGATGCCTCAGATTTACGTATAATGTAACGGCAACATGTGCAACAACAATGTGTGTCATTAGGTTACTCCTGACTGCTCCTCTCCGATGATAATGGAGGACTTTCATACCGTCTACATTATGTGCTGAAAATAATGCCTCAGACGGAGCAGCATAATAATCAGTGGCACAGTGACCATTTCATTTCCTTTCCTTTCCTTTTTTTTTTTTTTATTTGAGAGTGAGAGAGACACCATCTGTTCCTCAGAACCAAACTAAAAGCCGCGGCATTTTGAATTATTCATTTTTCTAACTGTAACACATTGTTAGAGACATTTGGTCTTGCTCTAAAAGCTTACCTTAGGTCTTGAAGCAGTGTGCCTTTCCCTCACAGCCAAGGGAAGATAGTAATGGATCCCTGGAGAGAGGGATATGGGAGTTATCTATATCTCTCTGCCTCACTCATTCTCTCAGCTTGGGTCTCTCTTCCCTTAAATGCATAGGTCTGCCTGTCTTATTCCCACCTTTCCACCAGCTATCATCTCTGCCTCTGCAACAGTCCTGATTGACACAGAGATTGGCCATTACCACATCACATGGGTGATTGCATCCTTGGCACAGGTGGTGTCTTTTGTGAAAATACTCTGCTTTATACTCTGTACTCTTTAGCAGAAAGCACCAGCAACCACCACGTTTTGCTTTTTGCAGGATATCGAAGGAACAAATGGGTATTACAGGTTGTTATTGGAATGTTTGATGTTTTGCACCGACTTCAGAGTCAACCTTCAAAGAGAGTTTACCCATGATTCACTGCTTCGCTACACACAAATTTATCCAACACGCTGTCCGTGTCTTTGTCCAGCACCTCCAAAGAAAGATATTCTTGCCTTTTAAATGGCTTTGTTGCTGTCTGCACTGTTACAAAGAGATTATGTGTGTTCAAGAATGATAGGTGGTCACCCTCATAGATAACATCTGTCCACATTTCCACGTTACAGGGTCCCGAGCACGGTTTGAGGACGGCACGCCACGGATAGTGGAGGACCCCTCGGATTTGATTGTCTCCAAGGGGGAGCCTGCCACCCTCAACTGCAAGGCAGAGGGCCGACCCACTCCCAGTATTGAGTGGTATAAAGATGGTGAGCGCGTGGAGACCGACAAAGATGACCCCCGCTCTCACCGCATGCTCCTGCCCAGTGGCTCCCTCTTCTTCCTGCGCATCGTCCACGGACGACGGAGCAAACCAGACGAAGGCGTCTACACCTGTGTGGCCCGCAACTACCTGGGAGAGGCCATTAGTCGTAATGCTTCACTGGAAGTTGCAAGTAAGGCTCTATGTTATTGATCACTGTCCAAAAAGTGTGTGTGTTGTGTTCTTTTGCACTATAGATATATTGATGCATTTGTGTGTACGGTATACAGATGCTTCACTGTGTGTCCCAGATCTTTTCGCAGCCCTGTGGCACCTTTATGGAGGTCCACTGGAGAGTTGGCTGTGCTTAAAAATAATGACATGAAAAAACCAAACTGTAGGAAGCAACCCCAAAAACAGATGGTGGTGTAGGTGGAGATAAATTCAGTAATAAGTCCTAGCCTGTGGATTTGTTCCTAATTTTAGGTTTCTGCGAAAATAAATGAATAGATTTTGTCCTTGTTTATTGTATTAGGTTTTTAATTGCAGCTTTAGAAGTCACCATAAAAAACTTTTAGAGTGGGCTGTCTGCCGTTGCTATCTTGGCAGTGCCTGACATCTGACTAACTCCTGGTCAATCCAAAAATTAACAAAGAGGTGGGGCGCACGTGGAGCTGAGACATTGGGCATGCTGTTTTGTGGCAAGCATACGCTCACTCATGTGGCACGCCCTGAATTATGTATAACTTTAATAAGCCCAAATACAATTTAAACAGGTGAGTTATATAAAAATTCACCTCCCTGTAGATTTTTTCATGAGGAAAGAAATTATCTGTAAAGGCCGAAACTATTTTTTTACCAGGCTGTAAACATGCATAATTTCTGCTGTAAAGTTTTAACGTGAGAGTCTATGAGGATTGACTCGCTTTTGGAGCCAGCGCCAAGTGGCCGTTCAAGGAACTGAAGTTTTCGGCACCTCGCCTTGGAGGTTGCCGCTTGTGTGAGAAGGGCTCCCCCGTGGCTTCGCTCTTTAATCTTTGTTGACTCTCGCTCTCTAATTTGCTGTCATATTTCTACTTAATCTAATAAGGGCAAAAAGAGGCCTAAATAATAATATTAATACAACAAAGGAACATTTAGGATGTCTCTTTTCATATTTTAGTCCAATATAACTATTGCTCATGACTGAAGTGGATTGGGTATCTGCTATGACGTGACCAATTCACATTAAATACTGTTTTTTAATGTATGGTAAATAGATTTTGAATTTGGGAAATCTACTAGAACCAATAAAAGACCGGTATTTAATCAATAATTCTGTTTTCCAAAACTTCGCTGTAACTGAACAGAAGAAACTCAAACACTCTTTGTATCATAGTGGATCCATTACGCTATGCACTTCACCAACACAGCTGTATTCTGTGTATTCTGTTCAGACTCAAAAACAAGTGCTTGAGATGATTTCTGTTAAACTCAAGTGTTTTGGAAAGCAGTAGGAGGCTCGTGCTTCTTGTCCTAATCGCTGTCTTTGTTGCCAGAGTCTTAATAATGGAGATGGTGGTGAGTGTTTTCATGACTAATAGAGAAAAATATGAGAATAACACACAGGCTCACAAATAACTTGTACCTGCTTGACACTACTAATGATATCACGAGGAATTCATGATTCATTTCATTTCATGTTTATTTAGATTACTCAATAAAAACATTGAAACTATGTATGATATTGTTCAATTCTAAAATTAACTTCAGACGTTTTAACAAATTCAATTAGGACAAATTACAATTGAAGATTTTTCCCCACAAAAAAGTACACATTTCAGGTTTCCTGCTCTTTCTTGTAATTTATCTTTTTTTATATATAATTTTGAGGTTTGAACTGTTGGTCGGGCAGAACAAGTACTGTAAAAGTGTCACTTTGATGTCTGGGTAATTTTGATGGCATTCATCGCTATTTTCTGAAAAGTAAACAATCAATCCATAATGAAAATTATAGTTGTATGGTTTTCAATACATGGGCTTTTACTTGTAATTGAGTATTTTTACAGTGTTGTGTTTGTACATTTAATTCGATCTGAGTACTTCTTCTACCACTGGTTGGGGACAGCCATCTTGAATTTTTCTAAAGGTAGCACAGACACTATGACTGAGACCACCACACCTCTCTGTGTGTACCATCAAGATCATGTGTGTGAGCATACCAGTTATAGCTGTGTTTTCTTTGTATAGACATGTTGCTGAAGAGTACACCAGGGGATTATGTGCTTTCTCATGTCTTGGTGAGCGCACTGAGATAAAAACCTCCCACTATTAGCCGTGTGTATTATTTTCCCTCCTTTGGTCTAGGACACGTGCCATTGTCTTCCTTCCCTCTTAATTGTGCCAGTGTGGTTCGGCCCTGGGCTGAACTGCAGCTCTCTTTGGCATGAGGAAATGGATTAGTCAGTGGGTTGATTAGGGGAAGGAGCATAACAGATTAGCAAGGTCGAATTGTCCTTGTTAAAAAAACACATAACAGCAATTTGAGCATGGTCTTATCTTCCACCATACCGAGGCTTCCTTATTGACAGTGTGTGTAAGTGCTCATGGCTGGCTGACCTCATCTGTAGCTCGTGTCCAAAAATAGGGACATCCTCCTCAGATATACTGTATATTGGGAACCATAAGCAGCTGCAACTAATGCAAATATCCGAGCTGGGACAAGATACTGTCACATTGCCTCTTTTAAATTGTTGATAATGAAATTTCGCTTTGCGTGGAGCTGCAGATTACAGTACAGTCATTTCAGTAAAGGGATGACTCACCTGCAGGCACTGAGTGACTAACAGTATTAATAAGTGTCTGTTTTGTTCTAATCTCATCGCCTCCGGCCAGTGAGGGCATATGCTAAGACAGCATGGTGGTGGTCTTAGACCCCCCCATCCCCTCTGTGTGAGGTTGTGCTGACTGTGGGGTAAATAGTGACCCAATTAGCTCTGGCAGGGAGGTGGGGGAGTATGCAGTGTTAATGAGCGGCCAGTTTTAAGCTGGTGGTCTTGCAGAAGTGTGTGTGTGTGTGTGTGTGTGTGTGTGTGTGTTGGTGGTGGCTGTGAGTCTGAGGGACAACAGGTGGGAGGAGGAAGAGCTTAAAGCCCCCACTGAGTAGTAATTAATACCAATGCATCTGTTCGACTGTTAGTACAGCTCTGAGTAGGACACCGGCACTAACCTGGTTTTAACCACATTAATTACTCATTAATTGTCAGTGAATGATGCATAATGTATTGTGCTGCATGACAAAGAGTTTTCTCTGCAGTGTCCTTACAGACTTGCTCTTCACTCTATCCATGTTAAGCTGGAATTGCATCTGTGGAGATACACGTCTCTTCAGACCTACGTGGCCTGTGAGTCACATTGCTCTCGCAGCATTACAGCTCATTTCACAGTCAAGAGTGATATCAGAACTGAAACATGTTGAGTGAATGCCAGGCGCTCATATGAACAGTGCTGCTGACTATTGTAATAAATACATTTTTCACAGGTAAAAGTACAAAAAATTGTCTGGGTTGCAAGTAGTAATGTGAATATGAATTAACATACAAGGCTGGGATATGTGTATGTTCTGGAAGCAATAGTGATTAGCTTTTTCGATTAGCATTAGTGGTCCACAGACTTACATAAATATGATTAACATAAGCGATTCACACCGTCAGAGTCAGTGCAATACAGCAAAATGTTTACTTAATGCATCCAGTAGTACTCCAGTAGTAACTGTGTTTTTATTTTATAGCTTTTGCTATTACCGATAAACTGTGTTTTATTTATTTAGACTGTGTAAAATTTAAGAATATTGCAGTAAGCTGATATAACCCTGTCCGCCTGTGGAGAATTACTCCGGTAGGTTGGAAAGCTAAGTTTATTGCCCAGCCAGCAAAGACTAGGTAACAGGGCGAACTAAGCTTCACGATAGAGCTCTACATCTTATGTTAAGGTGATTCCAGGCCTGTTCCCAGACAAGAGCGATAGCAGAGCTGAAGCTTCACAGGGAACCTCTGTAATGAAATGTGCAATTGAATTGCACCAGTCTGGACCCAGTGTTTCATTCTGAGCCTGTACCATATGCAAAGGAGCCAATCTGCACACCTCCCAAATCTCAACATAGTATGGACCTTGGTGGCTGATTTGATAAAAAAAAATTCTATTGGGAACTTTGCTCTGTTTTTTTATTGCAGAGGTTGGGCGCACATTTCAGCCTAGTTCTGCCACAGGTGATCTTCTACAGCACAGGAAAATAAATTCCTCTTTCAATGCACTTAATATCATTGTCTACACACCTTTCTTTTACCTATAGCTTTTTGGGAAATGAATGATTTGGGAACACAAACTACAACACCTTAATAGATTAATGTCATCATATTGATTGTCTTGCCACTGACTGAAGCAACAGACAATTTGAAATGCTCTGAGACTTACTGGTACGTCCAGAGTAATAAGGTTAGAAATGTGTTGTTAAAGCACAACCTTGTGTATCTAAAGAGACATAGAGCCAAGTCAGTTCTTATGGTGGCTAAAGTAAAACTCACCATTGCTGACAACAATCCCCTTTTGTTTTAAGCCACAAATTTAGTTTAGCTTTATTAGTCCAACAGTGTGTATCCGACCAACAGTCTAAAACTTTTTTTTCTTATTCAGTACTATAGAAAAATAAACCATCACTGCTCAATTATGTTGAGATTGCTATATTGAATACATGTAACTTAGCCACTGCTATTGACCTGTGCAGGACGACAAATTCAATTTAACTTGATTTAACTCGTCCCCCTAATGTTTTAACTAACATTATCCCGTTTAAGGTGGGACAGGTTGTGTTTCCACATATTTCCCAAAAAGCTGTAAGCAAAGAGAAGACACCTGTAGCCAATGGCAGTTCAGTGAAAGGAATAAACAGAGTCACGCCCATAATTTAGACACAATACTTTATGGGGTTAAGAATAAGGTGGATGTACCTTTTGTATCTCTAATAATAGAGGAAATCAGACAAATGCTCACTTCACCTCTGAGTCATAGAGGTTTGTGTCAAAACATAATTTTTCAAAAGGATTCAAAAACTTGGATAGATTTCTTGGTTGAGTACAGTCAGTCCCTATTCAGTGCACATTTGCAGTTGGAGAGATTTGGGTTTTTTTATGCCTAAATGCTTGTTGCGAGCAAACCAAGGTCCACAAGTTATGTTTTTTGTATACCCACTGTTGCTCCCTTCTGGACTACCTCATGGTAAGGAGCTTGCTTTGCTCAGATATGCCAGCAGCAAGCATTATTCTGTCTTTTTCTGTCCCTTTTTTTTTTTTTTTAACACCAAGCTGCCAGTGATCAGCTGATTTGCCTGGCTGTTGAAAAACCAGAATAATGAGACAGTAGGAGTGGAACGGAATCTCTCCCTCTATTCCTACAAACAGTGTGTTTTGTTTTGCTTTTAGAGAAAACAAAAAAAAAAAAACAAGAAGAAACAAGAGAAGCGTCTTTTTCAAATTCGTGGACGTCTGCCTGTCTCAGTGAGGAGACGGTCACATGGTGTTGCGGGATTAGAATAAAGTAGGACAAATAAAAAATAAAACTTGCTTAAAAGGCTTTACAGCCAGATGTTCCTCTTACTCCTGATGAGGGATTACGAAGGAATCAAAGTTCTGGTTGCAGCTTGTTTCTTGGCTTCTTCTGCTCTGCGTTCTCTTTTCACTGGAGAGAATCTGCAGATATATATCATCCCTGATGAATATGATTTAGCGTCGTTGTTTCTGAGTGCATTGAAATTGTCAGCCAAAATTTCACTCTGCTATTGTGCAAACCATCACAGCTATGGTTTATATGAGCCCTGTCAAGCCTTTCTAATAATGCAGAATTTGTTGTCCTCATGCAATGTCTGTTTGTAATTGAAACATCATTACATTTTCGGAAAGTGGAGGAATTTATGGCCAAAAGTTTCTCATAAAGACCATTTGCCCTGGAGTCACTTCTTATCCTCCATCAACACAATCAGACAATGGATGGATTAAAGCAATCTCTCTTCTCTGTAGGCAAAGCCTCCATTAGCTGTGACAGGGCAGTATCATGGCAATGGGATTAGACCACCTCCCTAACGGGTTTATTGCTCTCAGAAATAAAAGAACAATAGGAGCCAGACACTGGGTTGTCTCAGGCTCTCAAAAATGAGCACTTCCACTGTCCTTTAACCTCTCCGTCCAGCCTCCTACCTGTCAGCCGTGAAAACGCTGAGCTTGGTAACTGTTCGTACATCTGTCCAGCCCACGCTGTCTGCTCCCCACACTCACTGTCACCTCAAGTTTAGCACAAAAGCTTTTTTTCCCTAACCTGTCAGTCACACTCACCCGTCATGTTTCTTTCAACTTGCTGGTTATGTAAATGGTCTGTGAACTGTTAAGTAATTTGCCCTGTGGCTGCTTGATTTTCAGCAAAGTCATAATCAATTAAGAAAAAGCACCGTGCACAACATTAATCAGCCCTATACATACAATACAAAGTGCGGATGGAGTACATAGAATTTTCTGGTGATTAATCTCTTCTCCTCCCTCTGCTCATTTTTCTAAAAACACTAACAGATGGCCTTTCTGCAGCTCCTCTCTACTTAACACTAGAGATAAATGTCACTTAAAAATCAAGTGATGAATATTCTCGGTGAGATTAAATCTCCTAATCTGTATATCCCTGTAATATTAAAGTTATGAAAATGAATGGGCACTCTCGGAATAGCGCCCACAGAAATAATGATGAAACCACTGAAATTCATTTAGCCCTGCGTTGCCATTATTTAAGCTCACAGGAAGTGCCTTGGGGACTGTAAGACAGGGCCAAACCTCAGCTGCCCTGAAGTAACCATGCTCCTTGTCTGAGCCCAGTGTGGACAGACGGAAGCGAGAGCGCGGAGCCTGGTTTAGGAGATTACTTGGCAGACCTAGTTGTGTTATGTTTGAGAAGTAAAGCTAGGGACAGTGGCCCTCATAGGGGGGTTGGGGTTTCTGACGAGACTGGTTGATCATCATCACATACAAACATCCGTGGGAAACTCTGTTTGGCATGGGGGGCTTTAAAGTCGGAGCAAGGAAGGATCACATTAACTTGAACACAGCTTCAAAGAAAATTTTGGAGCTAGTGTTGCGCAGTGTTTGGGGATATATTCTGCTCTCTGGCATGTGTTTCAACCCTCAAATGTCCCACTTTCTGAGAGTCTGTGCCTGGGGATCTGGGTTTCAAATGCTAAAGGTGTGTGTGTGCATGTGCATGTGTGTCTGTTTGTATCTGTGGGTGTATGTGTGTGCATTTCAGGGATTAGCTCTCTGCCCATAACTTTTTCACTTCAGTCACCATGGCAGTGAAACAAAGGTCTCTGTGCGCCCATCTAACCAGGCCTTACAGACGGAGGTCTAAAAATAATGCAGTGCTTTCAATTAGCCCTTCAGCTCTGCAAAGCATTTGAAACAGGCAGCCAAGTGAACAGGGTCGGTGTTATTTGGTGAACAGACCTTTGAGAGCAGGGTGAGTGCCTTTACTGGTTTTCGTTCACCCATGTCTTTGTTATAGCTGCCGCAAAGGCTCCTAATTGTCCTGGATCTTTAGGGTGTTTTACTTCTCTGTGATATCAACACTATGACGACAAGCTTCCCCAACCTCAGGTTTGTTCCTCCGATGTCACATAATCACCTTCTATGAGACGTATTACAGTGTTTGACTATGAATAATAATTAAAATATCACTGCAGCATAATGAGAGATTTAATAATGTCAGAGGTAAGAAGTTCTGAATGAGTGTTCATTTTGTAAAGATTCCTCACTTTTCCTTAACCTAAATGTCAGGGCGTTAAAAAAAGAAAAGAAAAGAAAAACCCTGTTCTCCCATGTGGGAAAGAGAAGCCTTTCACTTAATTTCAATAAAGTTTCGTTTTAAGAAAGCAATAAGTGTGTGATTGATCAACTTAATATCACAGAGCGAGTTAAAGAAAAGGGCGAATCATGTACGGATTGACTGATGTCCGATTCAGACCTGAAAGAAAAGTTTTCTATTCATAGCCATTTACCCAAGACAACTATGGCCGTCAAATAAGTGTGAGGAAGGATTTTCCCTCTTTAAATAGCTGTAATAAAGTCACTTCAGATGAGCCTTGTGGGTATGAATATTGTACTAAAGGCCAAGGCTGCCATGTTGACACAGACCTGTATTAGCCAACTGGTGGATAATTAATGTGGCATAGATTTAGTTATACGTACTCATAGTAATTGGCTTAGAACTAAGTGCTTAGTTAAGTTGATTTAAGGTGGATTACAGTAATGTCCCAATGAGACTAACTAGATTACACCAAGGTTTGCTAGTTACTCTTGCTATGCCTGTCGAGGCTTCTGTTCTAGCACGGTAAGTATGCAGTTCATAACGATAACGTTTCAAATTCGTAGTAATTTTTTTTAAACAGTGGGTCTTTGGTTTATTTCTGATATTATTATTATTTCTCGTTAAATCAAAGCAGACGTTTTGCCTGCTAAAAGGAGAACTGTCACTAGCAAAATTTATCAACTATAGCTCACGTTAGCTAATGCTAACTCTGCAACTTGGTGGAAAGCTTTGTCTCTAGCTGACTTGTTGTATCATGCTAACTTACACTAGAACAGATAAACACACAGTTTGATCCATTCCTTTGAGTTTTTTCCATGAATTTTTGAATTTGGAAAGTATATAAAAAAAGACACTTCCCTCCAAACTCTTGACTGGCCTGCCATGTCTAATTTTGGTTTTTAACCAATGATTGGATGATTGCTTTTTGGGGTTGGGGTTTAGGGATCATTCAACCAATGATTAATAAGTGTGTAAGAGGGTTAATGTTTAGTTTGTTGCCACATTGACAGAAAAGCAGATGATCTTTCATCTTTGTATCTGTGAAAGTTCGCTAAAATATTCATGAAAGTGAAAAAGGAGATTGCATTGATTGATTATGCTGCAATGATAGACTCCGGTTGAGAAAAAAAAGAGCCTGTAGGCAGCAGGATGTGGTCCAACATGACGACTGAAGCTGTTCGTGTGTGTTTGAAAATGTGAGCCTGTCAGCATTCAAGTATGAGTTTCCATTGTGCATGAGGTCTCATGAGAAGGATCCAGTTCACAGTTCACACTGAGGCTTTCATCTGTCAATCACAGCAAAAGATTAGAAGATATCAAAGGTTGCTGTGTCAAACTTCTCATCCTGTCGTCATCCACAGGGTGGCGGGAGTGCAAACGTCAGGGTTGACACAGGGTTAGACTTTGCTCGTTCAGTGCTGATGTGATTTGAGTCCAAGCTGTGCTGCAGATTCGTAAGATAGCGTTTGAAATCAAAGACACAATCCTTTCATTAATGCAGAGGCCATTTTTTTCCCCTCATACATGAGCTAAATTATGAATGCACTGTTATTTGTTTACTCCATGTTGGACTGAGAGATGTGCATTATTCATCTGCTCTGACAGGAGAGACAGCAGAGTAGGACACAGGCCTGGGAAAACATTAAAACAGAGCACAGTCTAACAAGGATGTTGCCAGGGATTTGAGCAGTCATGCACATACAAACACAATAATCGACGTTCTCTCAATAAGCGTGTTTTCAGCCAACTCTCAGCAAGAAGGGGGTTCACTCAAGAAAACATGCCTAAATGATTTCCAAGACAAATTGGTGTTTCTTTTGATGATAGCTGGTCATCTGTCTGTGCTGCTGCTTGCTGACCTGTGGGTCTGATTTCCAGGCTTTGTTTTAAATACATCAGGCAGACAGGGCTTCTGAAGCTAATTAGATTTCTTTGTGTTTTCATCTTAGTCCTGAGAGATGATTTCCGGCAGGCCCCGAGCGATGTGGTGGTGGCTGCTGGTGAGCCTGCTGTGTTAGAGTGTGTGCCTCCACGTGGACACCCTGAACCCACGGTGTCCTGGAAACGCAACAACGTCCGAGTCAGCACCAAGGATGAACGCATCTCTGTGAGTTCAACAAAAACACTGAGCAAGGACTCTCAAGTGTCCTTTTCAAAAATAATGAGCAAATAAAAAAATATTAAATTTTGCTTTACCCTCTGGTGGCTCAGCTTTACAAGCTCATTTCGTTGTTAACTTGTAGTATTTATAATACCAGTCAGTATTTATTGCTTTCAAAGATAGCCCACAGTTTAATTCTAAAAGCAACATTTTGGGTAATTCTGTTTGAAATGACGCGCAAAACCTACTACAGTGCATTGAGCATTTTAATTAGTGTAAGTGTCATATAGCCTGTGTGATTGTGTTTTTTCTGTAAATAACTGTAAATAGCAATGTTTAATGTAGTAGGTCAGTCAATATTCTGTATTTTTTTCATAATTAATAAACCCCATGAAAAGACTAAAACTACTAATGACCTGAAACTATACTAGCAAGTATTATCTGTGTAGCCAAAGCTTGAGCTTATTTCTCTGTGCCAGACAGAAACTATTAAAATTACATTAGTGAGCTTTGCTGAAAGCATTTAGAGACTGACTAAAGCATTGTTGGTTTTGATCTTTTCATGGGAGTTGCTGACAGTAACAAAAACATAGAATCTCACATCCTTATCTTTTAAGCAGAGAGCAAGAGGTTAGCCTTTTATTTCCACTTTTATTGTTTTGTTTTTCATTACTTTGTGGACAGTAGCTGATTTACAACATTTTAGTTTTTAACAAGTATTACATGAACTATAATGTAAAGCATCAATGGTAAGGGCCTTTCTCCAGAACGTTTTTATAAACCCACAATTTATTACCAACATTCTGCAGTCCTGGGGAAAGGCAGAGGCACACATTTACAATGGCAATGTTTTAAAGTGTTTCAATAGCCCATAATTCAATGCAATTGGTTTTCTCTAGCCTGGAAAATGTCTCTGATTCTGCTTGTCACTTTTGTTCTCTCCTCTCGTGTAAAACCAACAGATGGACACGATCTCTGGTTGTTTTTGACAGGCATTTTTCATATTATTGAGATCTTTTACTTAAAGTTAAACACCACACTATACAAATACTGCATTATAAGTAGAAGTACTGCATTCTAAATCTTAGTTTCGAAAGTGCTCAAGTGTCACTTGCAGGATGTGCATAAAATAGCAAAAAGTTGTCAATGCAGAAAACTGGCCACTGTGAGTGTCACGATATTAAATCTACACATCACATACTGATGCATTCAAGCATAAATAGCATATTACTTTTTTGGTTAGTAGAGGTGGAGCTAAATTTAGAAGTATAATAGGCTATAATAAAGCATAAAATAAAAATATTCAAGTTAAGTACAAGTACCTTGATACCGGAGTAAATGTACTTACATTCCACCACTCTAAAAAAGCATACCACAGTGACTCATTCACTGTTTTGACTGTGAGCGATTAATGATTTATAACAGTGCAAAGGCATTTTTTCCATTAAAGGCTGGGATGATAGCATTGAGTTGTATCCATCTGGTGTCTTCATTCGGGGCACCCTGAACACTGAAGCTGTCACTATGCTGTTTTTCCAGATGCGTGGGGGCAAACTTATGATCTCTCACACCAGAAAGAGCGACGCTGGCATGTATGTTTGTGTGGGCACAAATATGGTTGGAGAGAGAGACAGCGATCCCGCGGAGCTGGTGGTGTACGGTGAGGTCCCGATATTCATGCAGTAAATCTTTGTGCAGCAGTATCACATCTTTTAAAGGTGCCTAGGCTGGACATGTCTGAAAATTTCTCTCCTACTGCAGAGCGTCCTGTGCTGGTACGAAGGCCGGTGAACCAAGTGGTCATGGAGGAAGAGACGGTCGACTTCCTGTGTGAGGTCCATGGAGATCCCGCTCCCACTGTGCGATGGCGCCGAGAAGAAGGAGAGCTTCCCCGCGGGAGGTGAGAGTCACGGACATGAGCACAGACAAACAGAGAGTCAGACTGGTGATGCACATACAAGGACTGAATAAGAAACAGCTTTACCAGAGCTGAGTTGTGTGTTGAATTATTAGCACATGTGACCCAGAAAACATGTGGAGTAATTGTTCATTAATTCATGTCTTTCTATCAGTCTGCTAATATAAATTCATAAATGGAGGCAACCAAAGAGGATTCATTAGTTGGCAGAATCCTCCTGGGACCCATTTCATCATTTTTTCCATCTGAACTCAATATGATGTATATTTAGCTAAGCCTATTAAATAATTACATTTTTTCACTTTTTTTTCACACAAAAAGTAATCACTTATATATTACAGCCAATAATTATATTATGTATGTGGGGTAGAAAATGCTGCTACACATTGTATGTCAAGCTGGAGTACTATCATTTATTTTTCATTATAATAAGCCATATGGTTTTGTATGTTTGAGTCCAATCATGGTTCCTACATGGCATCAGATTTAATGCCTAAAAGAATAGTTTGGTAATAATTAAATGTAACAAGGAGAGGTTTAGTTCTAAGGTAGTGGTTATTCTTCTAAAGGAAGTTTTGGTTTGAATCTAGAGCCAGCAGCTGATTAGCTTAGCTTAGCATAAAGACTGGAAACGGGGAAACAGCTAGGACTAGCCGTGTCTAAAGGGAACAAAATCTGCCTACAAGCACCTCTAAAGCTCATTAATGAGCATGTTAAATCTCATTTGTTTAATCTGAGCAAAAACTACAATGTGAAAAGGACATTTTGCTGAGTGTTCTAGACCTCTGACTATTAATTAACCTCTATCAGTTACTTAGATATGTTAATTACTTAATATTATGTACAGCTGAGAATTATTGACAAACTGTGATGTGTAAAAAATGTATGCATTCAGTAAATACTTCCAGGCCTTTCTGGATTCTATGTGGTATTAAAAAGATCTTGAAAAGTCTTTAACTGATCTCGTTGAGTGCTGCAGAAACCTTATATAAAGATGTTTACTGTTGAAGCGAGATTATAAAGTGTGACTGAACCCATGTATCAGGCCGTGATCAGAGACCTAACAGATAAATGTAGGTATTGAACAGTCTCGCCAAAACCTGCTCAAGGTACAGAAACAACAGTCATGGTGAGTTTATTTGTTCACTTTGAGAACAGCTAATTGAGATGATGAAAATTTTATGCAATTGTTGTTTTTCAAGTTTGTTGTGTCTTTTATCTGTTTCTTCTCTTTTATTTCTTTCATCTTTTTCTTCTATTGTGTATGAGTCCATGACATAAAGTGAATTTAACTGATTTGATTCATTTTGTACCTTGCATGGACGGAGACAGCTGATTTAGCTCTTTGTACTCTGGTTGAACTTGGTTATTTAAATAATTCTTCTCTGCAAAGTCCATTTATCTAATCTACAGTTTAGAAATCAAATATTATTCCTCCAAAATCTAGTGAGAAATCCTCCAATGGGTTAAGATAATCTTACTTGTTTCTAATTGATTTTCAACTGTTTCAAGAATTTTCCTGGAACCAGCGGCAATATCTGAGGCAGACAGGACACATTGTTCTACTCGTTTCAAGATAATGTCACCTGATTGGAAAAAAAAAATCTTTGCAACAGGCTGATTGACAAGGAAAGAAATGATATTATCTTGTACCACTGGCAGATTTTCCTCACTTTGTGTAGATTAACATGGCCATTTATTTTTTGCTATGCTTCTCTGTTAGATCTTTCATTATCTCTCTTTTTCTCATTCCCAGGTTTGAAATTCGCAACGGCAACAGCCTCCGTTTGTTCCGCGTGAAAGAGCAGGATGAAGGGACGTACACCTGCACATCTGAGAACAGTGTGGGCAAGACAGAGGCCTCAGCCATGTTGCAGGTCCACGGTAAGAAACACATCATGCATACTGTATATGACAACACCCCCCCACCCCCCCACCCCCCAACCCCACCCCATACACACACATACTTAGGCATGCATAAAAAAGCTCTCATACATAAGGTAACATACAGTCACATGGCAACAGCCTCATACAATAACCTGTCCCCATTTCCTGTCCAATTCTCTGTGTTTTTATATCAGTGTGTCTCTGTGAGTCCCTGTCCAGTGGTGCTGCCAGGAGCTTATGCTAACCCGTATGGATTACGCCATTTGACAGATGTTTGGGAGATGTGTGCTTTAACTCACTGCCAGAGAGCAGTCCCAGTATTAATAAGACATGACTCTCTCCCACTCTCTTCCTGCCTCTTTATCTCTCTCCTCTTCGCCGCCTCGCTCCTTCTACCCTTCTTTCCTCTCACTGTGTGTGTGTTGTGGTTTAAATTGTCTCAGATGACTTCATGAAATCCAAACCGAGCAGTTTCCCATTCACTCTGCTTCTTCTTATTCTTTTTTCTCTTTTTTTTTTTTGCTCTTTTCCATTTTTCATGTTATCACCAGTTTTGTTTTGTAGCTCAGCATTTCATCCATCTCATTAATTTTCCATCTCTCTCCATCATGTTTCAAACCCTATCATCATTCCAGTTGGCCCGTTCCGTAAGTTCACTTTCCATCTAATTCTTCTGTAAAAAAAAAAGACATTTGTGCTCAGTAATTTAGAGAAAAATAAGTGCTCTTTTCTGTATGGTATTCTTAATGGTTTTTAAACCAACAATCAATGCCTAATGGTGTAAATAAGTTTTTCCATTAGGTACTGACATGTTGACAACATGCCTGTTGCTGTAGTCAGGCATTAAGTAAGCCTCAGACAGTGACTTAATGTACACCAGATTAAGGACTCCTATCTAACACACATCTGCTGTGTCGAGGGGAGTGTGTCAGGATATTGTGACACCATGCAAATCCCTCTGTCGCTTGTAGCTACAGCAGTTTAAAATGCTGCTGAAAGACTTTTTATTACGTTGTCACTTCAAAATAAGGGCATGGTTTGACCTCAGGTTACATTGCTATCACTCTATTATTATTCGTGCTATTATTATTATTACTACTATTAATCATTTTGATAGTTACACACATGTGCTATTATATACAGAACAACAATACAAGTTATTATCAAAGGAGCACTCCACCCAATCAGTATTGCTCTCTGATGACCTTGTGGGAATAATAGACAGAGAAGATGAAAATAATGATCAAAATTGATGCAGGCGGAGAGATTCTGACTTTTAGTCCGTAGAAGTTAATTCCAAAAACACTGGATCCTGCATTTCCTGTAATGCAATTGCATAGATTTTTTTGTTACACCCTCTATGAATGGTACACAGCCACATCTTTCTTCCATGCCCCCAGCTCCTTCAGAGCTGCAGAAGAAGATATTAAATCATACAATGTTTACAAGGCTGATTACTACTGCTCAGAGCTATGTATAAAATGTGTGTAGTGCTCCCTTAATAATAGTACTAGTAGTAATAGCAGTAGTTGTTGTTGTAGCATCTCTTGTGTTAATTTTAAGTATTATGATATTGTTAAATTTTTGTCCATCTTTGGATATTTTTTTATTTTATTCCTTTATCTTTGTTTAAAAACCTCAAGTTTAAGAATCTATGTTTCAACAACATCCTGGCCAGATTAAGCAACAGCAGGTTATTGTTACACACTTACCCTATCGCTCCGCTCCACGAAGCAAACCTCACACAACTAGAAAACTGCCGTTGCCTCATTTATTGCACAAAAAGGTGTCTTAAATGAAATGCCAGGATGTTTTACATTCAACATGAACTCAGGCCAGACAAATATAGAAGTGTGAATAGCCCACCAAAAAGAAACACCTGACCCTAACTGCCTGACAAAATAAACAGGAGAAAATGTGCATGAAAGGAAATGTTAAGCTCATGTTTTTGGTACATGTGAAGTTGCAGCAAGTTGCAGCAGACTGGACTACCATGTGTTGGAAACTAATTTTGGCAAAAAAAAAAAAAAAAAATCATGATTTCAGTTAAATCTGTCATCTTTTATTACAAAATACAGTAATATAGACGAATGTGGGGGCCAGAGTAAGATGGCTTTCCACCTTTGTCTTACCCTCAGGGTGTAATGAATGACCTAAAAAAGAGGAAATAATGATCACAGTGAAAGCTTCACACAGTAATTACAGTGTGCTGAGAAAAGAGGCAGAATATGCTGAGATATCAGATTGTGCAGAATTAGTTTTACGAAACACTTACGAAACGTTACTGATTACAATGATAACCGCCACAGCTGCCTGGACTTACTCGCTGTTTTGGTTACTTGAAAAGGAAAGGGAGTTCACTGATGCTGCATATGTTCAGTGACAGTGACTTAGATGAACAGACAGCCGCTCCCCTTACAGGAGGGTGTTGACCATTCTGATCAGCTAATGTCCAAAAACAGCAGATAAACAGTAAATCAGATTCAAAGTCCATGGAGAATGATGATTCTTCCCACTTCAGACACCAATTTCAATCATAATGTCTCCTGTTGGGAAAGAAATCCAAGACCCCATTGTAAATAGAAAATATTGTCCACATGTAACTCGTTCATATGCAGCTATTTTACACACCTGGTAACTATTAACACAGAATATATCACATGATCAAAATTTGAATACAAATAAAGTTGCCAGCAAGAGTCAAATAGAAGAGGTGCCTTGAAGACTGAGAGCTGTCTGAAATAACAGAATACATGAGACCAATCTAATTCTAAAAAACAAAGTGTATGAGACTAACACCACAGATTTGTTTAATGACATTACAGCATCTCAAAATAAACAAAAAAATCATCATCAGAACCCTGTGATGATGATGAAGCTGTGAGACATCTTCAGTGTTTGGGAACATGCTCTCATTGAGAACATTAAGACATGACACAGATGATTCAGTTTTCTTGTGTATCGAGCCAAATATGCGTGTGTGTGCTCTTGTGTGCATCTGCCTGTGCGTATGCACTGATTTATGAGTATGAATCAAGGCTATGGACGGTCTTCATCTGATGGCAAGTGTGAGCCAGATATTCAGACATGAGGTAGAGGGCAGTGGTCAGTGTAAATCCACAGAGGCGATGTGATGATGCGGATAGCACAGTGATCTGACCCGAGCTGGAAATTGGCAGCTCTGCTCAGACCTTTCCCGAAATAACTGAGTAAATGTCATCATGAAGGCGCTGCCTTGTGCTGTGATGATTAGTTTTTTCAGAGGATACAGAGGTGATGCCCCTCATTAAAGATGAGAGGGCGATGAGAGTGTAGTGACAGATCTAAAGCTCAAAAGGTTAAAGAGAAAACTCTTAAATCTTGCTTGTTAAGAGCTAATGAGTACTTTGTTGACACAGCTGAGCAGTGGTGGAAAGTAACTGAGCACATTTACTTTAGTATTGTACTCAAGTTCAGGTTTCATGTACTTTTTTTCATGCCATTTTATACTTTTACTCAGAGTCAAAATATTGTTTTTGTTACAGCTGTTGTTACCAGTTACTGTTGATAATAAGGTAGATTTTTACATAAAAAACATACATTATGATGAGATTATGAAATAAAATAAATTATTAAAGATTAAACCAGTAATTCCCACAGAAAAGCAATATCTAGTTGAGACTCCTTGTCACATTTCAAATGTCTTTGAGGTTTTTTTTACTCCTTAAATGACTTACATGGTTTAATTTAGATAACTGTTCCACGCCCAAAGTAAAATCATCGAATATTTCTCAACCACCCCTCCCGCTGTTATCTCACGACCCCTCAGGTTTATCCTGTGGCCCTTTGGAGGGGCCCAGTCCCTAGGTTGGTAACCACTAGACCATTATCTAAGCGTGTATGAAGTAGTTAAAACTAGCTCCATCTCAGCAAGCTACACCAGTAAAGTGCTGCTTTCACAGCGGTGCGTCAGTAATATATCTGAGCATGTAATATAGAATAATTCATCACTTACTGTCTTTTACTTTTGATACCTACATTTTGCTCATGATACTTTTGGTAATTTTACTTACCAAAAAGAAATGAATACTTCTTTCACCTCTTAAAAGGTGTTGATTGCACAACTGAAAGACAGAATTGAAAAAGCAGGAATTTTCATTCTTTAACTGTGTGGTGACACTTCTTTCCCTCTTCCAGTTCCACCTCAGATTGCCTCAAAGCCCCGAGACCAGATTACCACACAGGGGAGGAGCGTCACTTTCCAATGCGGCACCACAGGAAACCCTCCACCTGCCATCTTCTGGCAGAAAGAGGGCAGCCAGGTAAAAGGCTGGAGCAGGGAACGAGACAAAGGAAAATATTGCAGCAACAGAATACATTTGCTCTCTAATAAGCCTTAGGTCGTTATTTATGTGTGATTAGAGGATTTTTTAAACCCTACTAATACTGTATTGTTTATAATATCAATAACAAGAGATTCACACATTCTTTGTTTTAAAGGCGAGAATGATTCACCGCAACATGAGCAGGTTTTGTCTGAGTTAGGCTAATCATACTTTTTCTGACACTTTTTTTTCTCCAAGTGAAACAGGCGAGAGACGAACAAAAGAGAGCAGCACATTTGCATTTGGCTCACAGACATGAGTACAGACAAAATGTTGGAAGGCATTGCAGCAATGCGTTGGCGAGAAATGTTTCTGCTGCTAGCGACCGCGGTGTAAGAGAACAGTGACGGGGGTGGGTGGGGGATGAGAAGAAACGAGGGGTGGCAGGAAGTACACCAGGTGTGGAAAGTGCGTCTTCGGGGCAAACCTGCAGACAAACGCTGTCCTCCTTCCACATTGTACACAACTATAAATACCCTGTTGCTCAGCAGCAGCTGGGATCACTGAGTTAGAGGAGCAGCTTCAGATGTTTTTAGGATGTTGTCAGAGAGCAAACAGGAAGTTCAGCTGCAGATTTTGTGAATAAGCTTCGGTCTGCAGGATAGTTGACGCATTCCTTGGCTGTTTGTGGAGCTTTTTTGCTGTATTTGGGGGATTATCTGTAGCCTTATAACCTTGGTCCCTCCACTGACGTCTAAGCCTCTTAGAGGAATGAAATGGATGGCTGAATGGATTGATGTGTATCCCTTCCCCCTCGTTCACATCCATCTCGCTTACAGAAAAACAGAATGGGGCAGCTATAAAATGTCTGTTAGTGAGCATCATCCCAAAAACAACAAAACAACCCATCTCTTCCATTTCTGACCTTTGTCGCTGCTATGCTAGTGGCGATGTTGCTCTGTCAGTCTACTGTGAGACTGAAATATCTCGACAGCTATGGATTGGCACACAATTATTCACAATTACAGTTGTCATGAAATTTGGTAAATATTCAGGTTTCAGTTTGTCCAGGTTTGTTTCATGGTAACTAGCAATTGTCAAAGGAGCATGATGCTAAACTAAGATGGTGAACATGGTAAACATTGTACCTGCTAACATTAGCATTAGCATTGTCACTGTGAACATGTTTGCATGCTCACGTTAGCAATAAGGTCATTACAGCCTTCTGAGCTGTTAGCATTTAGACTGTAGTTGTTTGGCTTTGCTTAGAAGTTGATGGGATGTCCCCTGGATAATTATATTAGCATGTAACTGAAACAGTCAATTAATCAGTTAGTTGATCACCAGAAAATTAATCAGCAACAACACTGATAATCCATTATTATTTCACCAGAAAAAATTATATGCAGAGACAGATAAAATAACATGCAGATTGATCAGTAATGAAAATAATCATTAATTGTAGTCCTGCGTTAACATCTTTTTTGACAGTTGATTAATCATTCAAGTTATTTATCAAACAAAGACGCCAAACATTTGTAGCTTCCATCTGTCAATGTCAAGATTTTGCTTTCGCTCTCTGGGTTTTGGATTGTTGTTTGGACAAAACAAACAATTTGAAGACACCAACTTGGGTATTGGGAAGCATTTTTCAGATGTGGAAATAGCACCTGACAGTCATGCTGTATGTGAGCCAGAACTGGACTGAGGAACCAGGCATATTAAGCCAGAGGATACACAAATATGTGGCCCAAATGTTTGCCAGAATAAATTTTTTTTTCAACCTGATAAGGATATTACAGTTCATCCTGAGTGGAATATAAACTTCGGAACCAAACTTCAAAGCCATATCAATCCAATAGTTGAGAGTCTGGACCGTGCCTAAAAATGCCAAAAATGTGTTGCTTTGATATTCTCAAATGTGAGGCTCTAGGTTTTGGGGTTTTGTTTTTTTCTGTTTTATATGAGTGCAAATTAAATATATTTGGGTTTTGGACAAAACAAGCATTTTAGAGATGGTGCTTTGGGCTGTGGGAGATTGCGAAAAGGATTTTTCACTGACATTTTATAGACTTAATTGAATAGCTGAATAATGAAAACTAATCACCAGATTAATTGACAACAAACACAAATATTGCAGCTGGTAAACTGATTGCTGATGTCATATTAATAATCTGTTGTATGTGTTTGTGTGTTTAGATGTTGTTGTTCCCTGGCCAGCCTCCATCACAGTCCGGTCGTTACTCTGTCTCCATGAGCGGAGAGCTGACCATCACTGACGTCCACCCCGAGGACTCTGGTTTCTACATCTGCCAGGCCATCAGTGTAGCAGGAAGTGTGTTGACTAAGGCGCTGCTTGAGGTGGAGGGAGGTGAGACTCCAGTCCACACAGACACGTTTGAACCTGGGAGAGAATTATTCTTTATTCTGTACCATCAGCTAATGAGGGGAAAACATATTAATTACTTAGTAGGTGCACAGCAATAAGGCTCATAAAGACACAGAAAGAAGAGACCCTGTGCTGGATGAACAATGAATTTCAGGCTTAATGTTCTCTCTCAGGGAGCTTGTAAGCTTTTTTTGTTTTGCTCTTTATGCAGCCTTTGTTTTCTGCCTACTAAGCATCTGAATATTCTCACCCTTTGCACTCTAATGGCTGGCAACTTTATGATCTCATTTTCTATAGGCCTCTTGTATGCCTTGCAGATATATCATTCTCCACATTTCTTCACTGTATGGCTAAGTGGAGGGGAGGTGGCACCCCCTAACATAATATTCTGCTTCCTCTCCTCTCTAATCGGCAGGCCCTTCAGGTCGTGTACCGCCGATCATTCGCCAAGGCCCGTCCAATCAGACCGTGTCTCAGGGTGCTACAGCGCAACTGCACTGCCGTGTAATTGGAGGGCCCTCAGTCAAGATTTCATGGGAGAAGGATGGAGAGAGACTTCAGGGAAATAAACCTCGACTGACCTTGATGGATAATGGCACTTTGCAAATCACAGATATAAAGGTGTGTGTGTGAGTGGGTTTGTGTTGAGTGAGTATAATTTATTGGCGAGAGCATGAAAAGGATAAGTTTCCTTAAACTGAAGGAAAAACGGACTGTGACTGATGGAAATGACAAAAAAAACTGTGGAGAATAGTGTATACTTTCTGTCTGATCGCTGACCCTCTTTTACTTTCCCTACACCCCACATGGCAATGATTTTTTTTTTTCTCATTTCTATTATAAATTCAGTTTTCGTTTGTAAAATTAAAGTGAGACTGAGTTTCAAAGACTGATCTCTCCAAGGCAGTGCATATCTCTCCAGCACAATTATGTGCTCATGCGGTGTGTAATTGTAATGTTAATGAAGGTGCTTGTTTGTAAATGCTAATGTGTTCTGCTTTGATGGAAGAGCAGTCAGCAGCCCCTTTGTGCTATAACCCCACCTGGAGGTCAGTGGGTGCACACAGGACGAAGCAAAAGCAGCATCGTTTTCGTTAATTGACTGGCCATAGATGATGAATTGTTTAACCGCATTTTAATTAAATCTGCTGGCCGGACTATGCTTATTCACTTCCTTCGTTCATCCTGTTTCCCAGCAGTGGTGCTCAGCAAACTTGGAGCATTAAGATTTGGTCCAGTGCACCACTGAGGCGGGGGAAATCTGCCATGCCAATGTGCTCAATGGAACAGAAGACATGCATTAGTGTGGCATCAAGGGGATGACAAGGGGGAAAAAAAGAGAGGAAATGGAGATGACGAGTGAGGGACTAAAAATATTTACCCTGCTGATGCCCCTACCCTCCATCAATATTTCAGCAGTAGTTGGAGTCATTTAAGGAAGTTCACCTGCCCACACGCTGTGCTGTCTGTCAGCCAGAGGTCAACACTGCAGTGGATGATCTCATATGGTCTGATGATAGTTCCAGCAGACTGGCTCTCAGCCAGAACAGGGCTGGAGCAAACACCAAGAGTGTCAGTGAAGCATGTGGGTGCATACAGTTCATAATGTAAACAGGAGGGTAGGTAGAGTGTGGCGCGGTGCCTTGTGGTTTGTAGAAGTGTAGTTCTTAGAGCTACTGACGTGAATACTACTGAGGAGAAGTATTTATGTATGCAAGGATTGCATTTGACTCTAAGGATGATGGCAAATCAGATAGCAGTCACTGAAAAAGTATTTAGATCCTTTGCTTAAAGCTGCTATAGTCAATATTTTTACATTAACGTTAGAAAAAATTACTTTGTGTATGTGAATGTTGTCACCACAGAGAATTATCACCTGACTCTGTGGTTCCCCTTAGTTCTGTTAAGTGTTTCAGCTTTTTTTTTAGGTCAGTGTTTTTTCGGTTTTCTGTCCCGTGACTTTTTTGGTTTAGTTCCACTGCTCTCACGCTCTGTTTCCTGATGCAGAAGCTAGACATTTGGTAGAGACCAAAACAAGAGCTAAAGCAGCACAGCATGTTGTCCAGGTGGCACAGGACTCTAAAGGATGATAATCTTGCTCCGCATCTGTTTTTTTAACATGTTCACCATATTGACTGCTAAATAAATTGTGTTTAAATTATATATACACAGAAGGTAAGCTGAACATGCAAAAATGTCAAGTGTATCTTACAGGGAAGCAAACATTTCAACAAATATGAAGTATAAAGTTTCCAATAAATTAATAATGATTTCATACTTTTTTAAATTGAGCTTCTCTGTCCCATTTTCCCACTTACTTGTACAAAATGACATACAGTACATGTATGTCCTGGTTGAGGTGAAGCTAGTTTTAACTGTAATTAACTACATGTATATATCATTGGGTAATTTATTCTATATTCATGTTTTGTACAGTATATACAGTTTTAATCTATAATGAAATTTGTGACTGTTGCTGTTGGGTTAAATATACAGCATTACCCACTGTGCAGTGGAGTACCTCAAAATTGTATTTATGTGTAGTACTTAGAGTAAATGTACACTGCCACGCAAATCGAGAGTCTAATAAGTAATAACATGATTTTGTTCTAAACATTCTTTCAGTCATCTACATAGATCCCAAAACAGCCTTCAAAAATTAAAAACTGCTTCAAAAATGTCTGCTGCTTGACAGGACTCGGACTCGGGGATGTACACATGCATTGTATCCAGCGCCACAGGGGAGACGAGCTGGAGTGGGATGTTGACTGTCAGAGGTACTCACACCAAAACTCTCCACACTCTGTCTCTCTGTTACACTTCACACTCTGTCACTCTTACACTGCACCTCCTGTGCTCAAGAAGCTACGCACTCATGTAGCCAAAGTCCTTCACAAAGACCACACAGAACAAAATCCACTCCAGTTTCAGCATTGGCCCCACTGTTGTATTTTAACAGCTCTGTTTTCTCGTTTTCTGTAACAGAAGATGGAGTTCCTCCAGTATCCAGAGTTTCTGAGTTCATTCAGCTTCCAGGGCCTCCGCAGAAACCTGTAGTGACGGAGGTGACCAAAAACACCGTCACCCTCACCTGGCAGTCCAACCCACATGAAGGCGGGGCCGCTGTCACCTCCTACATTATCGAAGCTTTCAGGTATGCAGTGACACACATATTCTTATTCCTATTACTATACTCAAGTCGAATACCATTTTTCAAAGTATATCTGATTTGAGAATATTTCCAGTGATTTTGAGTTTGTAGATATAATGAAGATCGAACGGCATATTGTAAAATGCTGACATTTCCCGAATATGAGAACCTGGTTGCCCATTTAATGTCTGAAACAGAGTCAGAAAAACTGTGTTGTCCTTCACAAGGCAATGGAAATACTCAGTAGACATATAGTAAAAACATACGGACTGACTTCAAATATATGCATAGAGTTGATAGTGAATGATAGTATGGCTGTATAGGGAGTGGCAAAGTGCAAATACAGCATGTGCATTTGTTAGAGCACAAGTCATTCACTGCTTGTTTGTCAATGAATAATTTAAATGATAGTGTTAATAGTAAGCTTTATTTATAGAGCATCTGTTCTCACTATGTTACAAGGTTGCTGCAAAAGTGAAAACAATAAGTATGAGTAGAAACATCAGCAACGATAAACTCGCATGATAAGAATACATAAAATGAGGGACGTGACGATACAATAAAGCACAATACAATACAATTAAGTATAGATATAGGTTTTCAAAGTAAAAGCAGGTTATTCCAAAGCCACAGAGGACCTCAGGTTATGAACAAGCCTATATGGGGGTCAAAAGGTCACTAATGTAAGATGGCGCAAGACCATGAAAAGCTTTATAATACTATATAATATACTACCATTTTTCTACCGGATATCTTATTCACAAATAAATTGTCTTTTAGATGTGAAATTGTTTTTTTAGCCGTCTGGTTGTTTTGCTACTTTGCAAGCTATGGAAGCGTAAAAAATACATTAATTTTTCTTTTTATTTACATAACTTTTACCAAATTTTACTGCAGCCTGAGATAAAGTTCAGCACAGACAGCCTCCGCTTAATTTTCCACCCCCTTGATGAAGGTCTCACTATCTGTAGCTATTTCAACTGTATCCACACTCTCTCAGTTTTATTTGTTAGTTCAAACTATTCCCGGATAATGAAGTCTCCTTCATTTAGAGTCATTAGAGTTCGGGAATGACTCATCTCCGCCTGAGGGAGAGACAGTTCTGTTAAGTGACGTCCTGAAGTGAAACCGTGACACTCACTGCATCAGTGTTTAGCTGTGGGATCCCGAGGAGAGCCATAGCAGCTCTAACAACCAACCAGAGGCTTTAGTGAGACAGACAATGAGTGAAAGAGGAGACAATTACTGCAGTGGTCAGCTCAGCAGCTCTGTCCTGTCCTGGGGCAATGGAAGGAGGGAATGCCAGCCCAGTTGGAGAGTTCACTCATTACAGAAGCAGGAGAGAGGGTGCAGACCAAGTGTATAGAAACAAAAACACACAAAAGTCTAGTGAGCTCTGTGTGGAGAGAAAGCTCAGTGTGGTCGTCTTACATGCACAGCTGATGATCATGATCCGCTTGCTGTTGCACGCTCCACCACCGACAAATTGATTGCAAATGTTTGTTTTCGGGCATCAGCAGCAACAAAGAAAGAAATATAAACCAATGTTTTTCTGTAATAGTATCTCTTCCTGTATACAGAACATAACAATACGTAAATTTCTCTTTTTGATTTAAAAGAAAAGAAATCTTGATGGAGGATTTATGTAAAAGTTGCCACTGCAGCTTGCACTCCAAAACTCCATTTGTAGCTTTTAAAAAAAAAGCAGGGTGACTCTATTTACAAAACCATTTCTCCAGAGAACATTTGGTGAGAAAGGTTGTGGAGGAGAAAACATAGATGATAGGAAAATGCTGTGGTCTGCTTGTTGTAATTACTTCACCATTTTCTTCTCCATGGAGTTTAGGAAAATGTTAAATTGTGCTCATGCTGTTTGATAGTCCCCGTCCCTGCAGAGCATCGGGCTGTTTATCCTTGCTGGACTCATTCAGAAGCCATCAATATAACCTGCTGCTATAAAAAGAAGGAGAACTTGTCATTGTTCTGTCTGCAAGCTGAGACTGACCATGTCCAACAAACTGCTAAGATGCATGGCAATGTGTTTTCTATTGTCTAGATTCCCTTGCATTTCTGACTGTTCCCTTGATTCCCTTGCATTTCTGACTGTTCTGGTTATTTAAAGGAGCTGTTTGACATTTTTTTGGTGACTTTCTTGCCGAGTAGATGAGAAGATTGATATCTGTTCGTTCAATGAGAAGCTACACCTAGCATAAATACTGAGTGAAACCACAAATTTTCATTCTTACACTTCAGTTTTTGTACAGATCAAATGAACACGATGGAACATCAATCAGTGAGCTTTAAAAAAAAAACTGGCGGGCAGATTTAGTTACTTTTGGACAGAGTCCAGCTAGCTGTTTCCCTCCGCCTCCAGTCTCTATGCTAAACTAAGCTAACTGTTTGTAGTGTCATAGTCATTAGCTTACAGATTTATCTAACTCTCAGCAAGAAAGCCAATAATCGTATAAAAAGTACATATGTATAATATGAAATAAGTTTGCCAAAAGTATTGCTTAAAGATCCTAAATAATGTTGAAACAATGAATTGATTAGGCAAATAATTTATTAGGAAAAAATATCAATAATGTTTGTGAGGCTTGGCTGTTTTTCTGTTTTAAAAAATATATCATTTTAATTGACATGAAAATGTAATATATCTAGGGTTGGACTCCTGGTTGACCTTTTGCTGTGGGAAATTGCGATGGGCATTTTTCACCACTGACCAAATAATTTATCAATTAATTGAAAAAAAAAAACTTAATTATTAGTGCAAATAACCTTTAGTTGCAGCCCCAACCCCAATTTATTTATCACCTTACCTTGAGATATCACACTTTGTTTCTCATAGTCACAAAGTTGAAAAAAAATATTTTTGAGACTTAATAAATGTGACGACCGTCACTGTGACTGTCATATTGCCTGTGTCTTGCCCAGCATGTAAAATTCAGATCTCTCTTTCTGACATTGTCTGTTCCACTTTCATCTATCTGTGCTATCAGTTTATCAGCAGTGGGCTAAGAGTTGTGATCAAACCTATTACCTTGTTATCTCAAAATTACATGATAATGAAGCTGTGCTTTCAAGATAACAGGAGTGAATGAATATTCACACAAAGAAGGAGGGCAGCACATTTGCCTATTGAGAAAGCACTTATAGACTGACTGTCAGCTGTGTGTTTGATTAGCAGTGTCATTTTAAAGGCAGCAAACACCCTCCAGATAAAGATCTTTACCTTCAAGTGTGACACCATTATCGGATTTTCTCAAAACCCTTCAAACATTAAGTCATGATCAAAGTCGCTCGTTAAAACAGAAAATAAATAAATTGATATTTTGATATAATGAAATATTTTCATTGTCTTGTTTCTTACGACAAAATGTCACTTATTTTCCTGCAGCCAGTCAGTGGGCAGCACCTGGCAAACGGTGGCGGACCATGTGAAGCAGGAGAGGCACACAGTTGTCGAACTCTTCCCCAACACTGTTTATCTCTTTATTGTCCGAGCAGTCAACTCTTATGGCCTCAGTGACCCCAGCCCGATCTCTGAGCCTGTCAGGACGCAGGGTGAGTTACATAAGCAAAGATAATCCTTCCCTTCATTATTATATGAGTCCTACTGTGCAATCTTGATTTCAGTTTCTATTTTTACAGAAAGAAATTAGAGATACTGAATATAGTGCTGAGGCAAAGATAATGTGCTACATGGGTTAGAAAAACTTGATTTGCATGTGCAGTCTCAAAACATATTGCTTGCTCAGTGTGATGCTCTTCTGCCCTGAGCAATGTTGAACTTCATCAAAAAGCTTTTCCTTTTCTTTTTTTCTTTTTTTTTTGCGGGATAGCTTCAGTTCAGCTGTTTAATCGGCCGGACTGAACAGGTTGCTTTGTTGTTTCAGATGGGAGTCCTACAGAACAGGGTGTGGACCACAGACAGGTGCAGAGAGAGTTAGGAGAGGTGTCTGTCTACCTGCAGAAGCCTGTGGTTCTCTCTCCTACCAGTGCCAGGATTTCTTGGACTGTGAGTTGAATACTTGGCTGATGAAAAAGCCCAAACATTAACTTCAAAAACTCCTCCAAACATGACTTGACACAAACAGATTAACTTGAAGTACAAACACAGCCAGTTCCACCTTTGATTACTGATGTAAATGTGAAATGTGTTTTTGTATTTTTTTCTGTCTTGCCAACATTTATCAGGTCGCCCGTCAGTCTCGGTATGTTCAGGGTTACCGTATATTTTACCGGACTATCGGCAATTCCTGGTTGGTCCAGGATGTGGAGGACACGTCTGACCACAGTACCATCTTAGTAGATCTGCATAGCAGTACAGAGTATGAGGTCAAGATACGCCCTTACTTCAATGAGCTACAGGGACATGACAGCCTAATGGTTCTGCTGCGTACCCCTGAGGAGGGTAAGAAAAGCTTATCAATTACTTTGTCATTAGCTCAGAAATGTAGAAATTTTCCTTTGGTAATTAAGAACTCTATTAAAGGGATTCAAGTTTTCAGACTGACTGGGTAAAATGTGTAACAGATAAATAGATGCCTTTGACATAGACCTGCACTTTGCCTGTTGGGAAAACTAAGGGGAATGATGGTAAAACGTACTAGCATATGAAATGTGTTATTACAGCTGTCTATTGACTTTTTGTTAATGATTACCTTGAAATGTATAAATTCACAATTTACTACATTTAAATATGTGATTCAAGAGTATAACTACACCAAAAAATGAAATCCACTGGCTAAGATGGTGGCTACTGCTACTCTGCTAAATTAGGCTAGTTAGCCTCACTTTTAGCATGATATAGCTGTTTCAATTTTCCATGACTGGATTTGGCCACTACCTCATTTATGTAGGATAACAAACCACATTACCAAGAAGTTAGTTCATCAAAATTTATATATTTCAATGCCAACCTTAAATTTTGATTTTTTTGTGAATAATTCTCTCTCAACGAATTTAAGCCTTAAATAATAACAATGAGAAAAATAAAATATTTTTAAGTAGAGTTTATTTTGGTTTAAATGAAACTTCTTTTTTAACTTCATTTCCATTTTCTCTAAAAAAAAAATTGTTCCAAATCACCAAATCATTCATTCGGGAAACGTCTTGGAAACTATTCAGATATTACTCACCTGTAAAACAGAGCTTTATCTACTTGTAATATATTGATATTTATTAATAATAATACTAATATAATTTTTCTTCTTTCTCTTTCTCCAGTTTCAAGTGCTCCTCCACAGGCTGTATCAGTGGTGCAGCTCACCAACAGCTCAAGTATTAGCGTGTCCTGGGAGCCTCCACCTCATAATATTCAGAGTGGCATCATTCGAGAATACAAGGTTAGACGACAGCTATCAGGCACATGATGACACCAGACTCCTGAGATGAGTGTTTATTCTCTGATGCGTATTTCTTCCTTTAGAACCAGTGACGCAGCTGTAGGCCGCAAAAATATAAGTGGGACAAATTGTTCTTTTAATCTATGGTGTTTGTATTTTTACGCAGTAATTACTCTGTGTTGCTCAAATTTGTTACTTTGATGAAAAACACTGTTTTTAATTAACAATTAGTAATTACTCATCACCTCTTATCTGCTGCCAGGACAAGAGCTGCTGCCACCAAGAGAGACAGAATTTTGTCATCAGATTCTCGGCTGAGCACTGACTGTCTCTGTCATCTGTTTGCTCTGTGAAAAAACACTCATTTCTGATTATCTGTCTCTTAGCTTGAGCACAACACTGATTACTAATCATCAGGCTGCTATTCTTGGGAAGAAAAAACACCAGAATCGAACACGCAGTTCTATTGTTTTGATTTTTCTTCCCATCTGTGTCTGCATGTTCGGCTCGCCAGCCAAAGGCAGGGATCACACTTAATCCACTTAAACGTTCAATTTTCTGAGAACTACACACAGTATTTTGTGCAAGCCTTCAAAGGCTTGGATGTAAAAAATTAAATGTCGAGTCTGTTGTAAAGTATTACCGGATATGTTTCCATTACAGCTCACCGTTTTTGATTTAAAAAAAGAACTTCACGAATGAGTAATTAAAAAGAAAGTTTACTCATTGTAGATTGTGCCGATTATACCTCAGGTGGAGAGAAGAACATTTACTCAGGAACTGTTGTAAATACTGAGGCACTTAAATGCTTTTTTTTTTTTTTCCTTTCTTTCTTCTTCTTCTACACTATATTTTAAATGGAAGTATTCTACTCTTTACACCCCCCTACTGTTCTGGTGTGACCAGTACTTATATTGGCTAAGGTTAGCACCCTTAAGATAGATACTACTGAATAACAACCATTACTGAGTCAAACAAGCTTCCTGAGATCTGCTGAAACTGTCAGTTCATTTAAATCAGGGCTTAAAACATTACTCTTTACTGCAGCTTACCAATATATTACATGCGTAACATCTTTTTAATCTTGTGTCATGTCAGCAGAGACTCAACTACAACAACTACCTCAGCTTACATCTTTTAACCTTTAAGTACTCATCTACCTAGCTTGTTTTTAATGTCTTTCATCACTGAAGCAATTCTTCTAATGCTTTTATAAGTATTGATGTCCGTGGTTAGTTGATTAATTTGGAAGACAGAATGTGTGTGTGTGTGTGTGTGTGTGTGTGTGTGTGTGTGTGTGTATGTGCGTGTGCGCGTGTGACTCTCCACAGCAGCACAGAAGAAGGGGTTTATTTCTTGAGCATCTTCAGGTTGTGCCCGACGCAAATAAAACCCTCAGTGAGATTGCACCCACAGGGAAAATGTTCTTGAGTAGCTAAAAGAAGCTGACCCTGCTGTAATCAAAAGCTGTGGTGCCTTTGCGTCCGTTGCCAAAGTTGCTGTGCCTTTTGATTTATTTATCAAGTCAATAAAACAAAAATTTAGCTGATTATTTCCAACTTTAGAAATTATTATTATATGGTTATTTGAAAATATGACTGATCTTATAAACATTTTTAACTATTTTTGACATCTTGTATACATTTAACTGGAAAAACAATCAGTAATGAGTTACAGGGGCTTGTTTTGAAGTGAGTAAAATTGAGGATGTATGCGAGAGTATTTTAACATTATTGTGTTGCTGCTTTTACTTCAGAAATCTGAATATTTCTTCCACTGCAGGGTTATTTAAAATCCAACACGCATAAAGTCATGTACCGTATTTGCAACATCAGGATTTTAAATCTGGCTTTCAACTGTCATTGCATTGACATGCCATTCTCTTTCATCTCTGCTGCATCTTTGCTGTCATTCTCCAACTTGTACTACCAGATAAAGCTTCAATGCCAAAAAATGAAAAGTACCCAGTTGGTCTTTTTTATAGTAACAGGACACATCTTATCACAGGGCGTGCAGGATAAATTAACGTCTTTATGTGTTTACGTGTTTTAAACTTCACAAGTAAACCCTGTACGTCTGGTGTCAATCAGGTCTGGTGTCTGGGCAGCGACGTGGATCAGGAGAACCAGATAAACCGAACAGTGGATGGAGCGGTTCTGTCTATCCTGCTGACAGGCCTGCTGCCTGATGTCCACTACTCCGTCATGGTGGCTGCTGTGACCAGCCTGGGTGTGGGCGCTCAAAGCCCGCCTGTCAGCCTGCTTCTCAGTGAGTCACTCAAACTGTTACAGCTACTGCAGATAGAGAAATATGGCAAGATGTGCTCTCAGTCGGCTTAGTTTACACACAGGTGGAATATGTGAATGTTGATTGTGCTGTGTGAGTGACTTTACGACTGAGGCGTCATCAGCACCGTTGTTTTGAGTGTCAAAATGTAAAATGGGTTAGTCAGGAAGTGAAGCAGAGAAGTTTATTAAAACTGATCAACAACTTTTCTGATAATAGATAATATTTGGATTATGAGCAGCATTCCATTCCTTTGGCTTTTATCATTTAAAAGTAAAAGATCTCGTTAGTTACATAGTTATCCAGACAGGTAGTGGCCCAGAGGAGGTGTGTTGCTTTTTGTGTTTTATGAGATATTTTCCTTCTCACTTTAGCTTTTACTGCATTCTGTAAGGACTAATTTAACATTTGGAGAAACATATTGTTTACTTGCTTTCTTGTTAGATGAAAACATTCATATCACTCATGACTATACAGTAAATATGAAGCTACAGTTAGCAGGCAGTTAGCTTAGCTTAGCTTAAAGACTGGAAATAGGGGGAAACGGTTTGTCTGGCTCTGTCCAAAGCTAACAAAATCAAACGCCTCTAAAGCTCACTCATTGAAACTTTATATATTGGTGGTCTAAGCCGTACAGAAACCAAAGTGTAAAACAACAGGTTTAATGGGGGATGTGTGCTGGACGGTGATAATAATTTGCTCCCAGCGAAGAAAAAGTCCAGGACCACTCCCTGTTAAAACACAAGTGAAGGCAGAGCACTGAAATCAAGCTTGTATTGGCTGATTGGCTCCAGCTGTTCCCAATATGCTTTAAAGTGATTGGCTCATTCACAGCTATGTAGCTAATCACTCTCATTCAGCTGTACATTACCGACATTATAAAATCACACTTACTGTTACTCTGACAAGCGCACTCATGCCAGCGCTGTTTGCTGCTGCAGCTTCCTCCGCTGCTACAACCTGCTCTTTACGTGGTATATCAAACCACGGGATTCCCATAATGCTTTGTGAATCCTTCTGTATATGTTCTGAAGAAAATGACAAGAGGGGGGTATATTTGTATCTCACCCTGCTACGCTCACTGGATCTTCATCAAGTTAACTTTAGACACAGGCTAGCTCTCTTCTCCTGTTTCCGGTCTGAATGCTAAGCTAAGCTAACTGGCCACTGGTGATAACTTTGAGAGAGTGACATCAATCTTGTCATCTAACTCTCAGCAAGAAAGTAAATGTTCCCCAAAATGTTGAAATATTCCTTTAAATTGTCACTAGATCGTTGTTGCATAATCTAAAAGATACAGGAGGAAAGACACGAGCTAAAGTCATTTTTTCACAATAAAGATGTCAGAGCACAGCTTTCTGCTTTGTCTGTGAATCATGTGGCTGCGCTGACTTGTCTGTTTTTCTGTCAGCTCTCGCACAGGACAAGACTACAACGCCCGTGAAGAAAGGTGGTAATCTCAGCATATCGGAGCAGATCACAAGTGTCGTCCGCCAGCCGGCCTTCATCGCAGGACTGGGCGTGGCCGCGTGGTTGGTGCTGATGGGCTTCAGCGGTTGGCTGTACTGTCGCCACCGCAGGAGGAAGCAGCTGGGACACTATACCACATCCTTCGCATACACTCCAGCAGGTGAGTGGGAGAAGAAGCTATGACTTGTATCACGACACGTGCAGGGTGTTTTAAATGGAAGGTTTAAAATGTACCTCTGTATCTTTGATGTCAGATAGGTTGCTCCTTAAAGAATGAACTGTAAAAAGTAAAAAAGGTTCAAATGATGTGACCCAGAATGATTTTTAAAGACTGTCAGATGCACTCTGTCACATCTTATTCAGTATGTGTCTTTTGTTCATGAAAGAGAGAAGTTACAAAAAAATTTAATCTTCAGCGCTTGTAGAACAAACCATCAGATTTTATTTTCGACAAGTGACAGTGACAAACTTCCTTATGGACGACTGGGGATATCTCCAGCAGCGATGAATGTTTTCAATTTTACTTTGTATTTTGCAAAGCAACGCCTGCACTTTCATCACATGCTCGGTTAATTAAAATGTATTTATCCCCACTGGGCAGATCTGATGGCAGGAATAAAGCAAAACACTGAAGCATATGTAAACAGTAACCACTACATACAGTTTATTTTAGAATATGCCCTTTGGCACATAAGCACGTAAACACATCAGTTGTTTACTGACATTGAGAGATATTTGTTCATGTTCATAAATACTCAATGGATGGCCCAAGGCCTTAAGAAAAACATATTAAATCAGATTTTTCCATAAATATTTCACAGTGACTATTGCTGCCGTATTAATGACTAAAGATTGTATTATATCACATTTTAGTATGGATTCTATTATCATGTTAATATAGATGGTATCGATCTCCAGATACAGCAGTAAAAGCAAGAAAGAGCTGCATCAATTCATCAAATGGCATCTGCAATCTTATGTATTGCAGGCATATTATGTTATATCGATTCAAATCTGCGCTCTTGTGTGGGATAAACTGTCAGTCCAAAATGTATTCATCCTTCTGTGAATCTTTTGAAAACAATGTCAAAGGTGTTTCTTTTCTGCTCTAAAACATGATTTATAACTAAATTCTTCTTCTTCCAGTTGGCTTCGCTCACAGTGAAGGATCTGGAATCATAAATGGAGGGTAAGATGAAGCTTGGGATTTGATTCAGATAATATTTGCCACTGTGCGTTTTATGTAAAAAGTAGTGATATAATCTCACCTCTCTTTCCAGGCCTGGCTTGTTGGGATCAAATATGGGTAACTACCCCTGGCTGGCCGACTCTTGGCCCACTCCAAACCTCACTCATAACAGCAAAGACTCAGTCAACTGCTGCTCTGGCAAACTGGACTCAGACAGATATTATAACAGTAAGTTGTTGTGGATGAAATAGCATATTTTAGAATACTGAATAATAATGTAACACAGTCTTTTGCTATTCAGCAGTTGGTATCATCAACTACCCGAACCAGTCAGAGAAACGCAGCACGGCGTCCAACGACAGTCCCATCTACAGCACCATCAACACAGTTGCTGAGGACGACCTGCTGGCGTACTACGACACCTACTCCAGCACGTCCTACAACCAGGGTCCAGACCCGTACAGCAGCAACCCAGGGCTCTCAAACAGTGGGCTTGTGGGTCTGGAGCAGGACCTGGACCAGTGGACCATCCAGTCTGGTCAGTCTGGGTCTGAATATGCCAAGCTCCAGTACACCAAGAAAAGCAACGGTAAGGGGTAGTATACTACCTATGTAGTACATTTTATTTTTCAAGACAAAAGGGTCATTCACCTGATCTGAAACAGTTGGATTATGTAGGAGTATTGTTACCATGGTTACCTGTAGTTTAGTGTACATTGTACATACCATAGTATTTAAAACAATGGTTTTACGTTTGATACATGTTGATACAGTTTGTATGGTTGGCTGCCAAATGTTGTTATGGCCTTGGTTAAATTCAAAGATTGCTGCTCCAGGAATAAAAAAGAGTTACAGTGCAATACTTTGACCAGCATCGTCTCATAAAGACATACAGCTTGTATGCCTCCTCCCACCTGTGCATTTTCATCATTGTCAAAACAAAATACAAATACAATATATACTTCACACCAAGATGCCACAAACCCCAGCATTACACAGACGAATTACACATCTACAAGATAAAAGCTGAGGACACAGATAAAGGAAAGCACTCACCTGCCCATTTAGATTTTTCACACAAGAAAAAAATTTATATGAAACATCTAAAAATGCAGGTGACAAAGGTGGCATGTTAAAAACGATGGAAATAGATTCTTACAATTAACAGACACACCAGCAAGGTCCAAACAACACAATCGGGAACTGGCAGGCAGAAAACAGGCACATGGCACAAAGACAAGCTGGCAGAGAGCAACTGGAAACGAACCAGTATATATACTAGGAAGCGAATGAGGAAATGGGGAACAGGTGAGCAGGTGGTGGGGGGAGGGGCAGGTCAGGTCATTCTACGGGCGGGAAAGGCGGGCAGATGGGAGTGGCAGGGTCTGAGACCACAGCAGAATTAGAACATGTATGCACAAACAACTGGACTGACTGAATGAAAGGATGAATGAGCAGACTGAAACTCAAAACCATGACACATTTGAAGGTATCAAAACTTCCAGCTGCTCTCACGGCGTAATCAAATACAATGATGTCAAAGTTACAGATTACAAATTAAGAGTTATTGTGGTCTCTTTAGTTATACAATCTGTTCCACACTGTTGAGGATATTTGCATGGCATCAATTGATGAAAACATAACGATTCAAAAAAGTGCTCACTTTTTGGGAAATGTATTTATTTAATTTTCTTCTTGAAAAATCCTAATTATGTTTGTCATTTTATATGTTTCTTCTTAGTCTTGTCTCAATGCCTTTTTCTGTTGAATGTAAAGCATTTTGAATTGTTTTTCTGTTGAAAGGTGCTAAATTAATAAACATGCCTTGATTTTAGTGGTAACATACAGTGAATAGTAATCTAAAAGAATGGAAAGACTAAGTGCTTAAGCAGGTTCACATGCAATTATTCTAGGGAACCTGAAGGTGCTTCTTGAAGATGAAAAATTGTTTGTTTTTACTGACTAAAAAGAGCTATCTATCAGGCACTTATTGGCAAAGCCATGAGGAGAAGTGTTTTAAAAGCCTGAATGAGGTTGAGCACATTTATTACTTAACAACGGCCATCGCTTTCAAGCTCAGGGGTCAGGGTGGAGACAAAAAAAAAAAAAAAATCCACTATATGACACACTGTGTTTGTCTTTATAGACAAACTGGTAAAGCAGAAGTCCACTGGATCCTCGTCCAAGTCGCCTCCTCTCACCTGGGTGGATGTTCTGTCCCTTCCTCTTCCTGCCAAAGACAAGGGTCATACAAAGGCAGATAAACGAGAGGAGCAGCACAGGTGAGGCTTATCACTACAATCTGAGCTCTACATCAAGGGCCCCCTTTTTCCCCTCCTCCAAGAGCCTTTTGTACTTCCTAATATTCATTCAGTCAGTTTATTATTAGCATCAAGGCCTCTGACTTCACCTACATGACAGAGAGAGTTAAGGAAGATGAATATCAAACCTGCCCTGTAACTCTGCCAAGGCTGTCAAACAAAACTTGAGTGAAGTTTTGAGTCTGGTGAGTTTTCGAATTAACAACAGTTGAGTCCGCAGGCATTGAGTCGATTGGGCTTGGGGGTTATGGAGGGGAGCGTCTTCTCTAACAGGTTCTGACAGATTAGATTGTGGACATAACAGGGTGGGATCGGAGGGCTGTTCTGACTGTGCCGTGTCGTTTGTAATAACATTAGCCGCCATCTGACAGTCTGGATTAGTACTTTTCCATTTCCGATGACACGTCCGTGATTAAATTAGCCCCGACAGCACTGAAGTGACAACAGAAAGCACAGAGGTGGTTCTCATCTTCTGAAAGTCTGCTTTTTCTCTCTCTTTTTTTTTAATCATATTTAATATTTTTAGCCATGTTAGGTATGTCTCTGTGGACGGCAGTGTTGATTTGTCTGTCCACACTTTGAACTGAAAGACTGAAATATCTGTAACTGTCATAATTTGCTCATTCGGGGTCCACAGTGGATGAATCTTACTCACCTGTGTGAGCTCCTTTTTCAGGAGGTTAACAATTGTGTTTTTTCAATTTTTTCATGAAATGTCTCAACAACTGCTGTGAAATTTGGTACACACATTCACTTCCCCCTCAGGCCAATTTATAATCTCTTTGGTGAAGCCCTAATTAGCACCTATTTAGCACCTTCATCAATGTCACTTTAAATTTGTCCAATTACTTATGATAATTATGATCAAACACCTCCAAACCAATTGACTTTATGATTCAGATTTAGTGCTACTTAGCAAATGTTAGCATAACACACTAAACTAAGATAGTGAACGTGGTACAACAACATTACACCTGCTAAACATCAGCTTGTTGGCAATGTCATTGCGAGTACGTTAGCATGCTGATGTTAGCATTTTAGCTCTGCTGAAGTACAGCCTCACAGAGCTGTTAGCGTGGCTGTAGACTCTTAGTCCTGTTCTTGAATGATGTTTCTGCTTGAATTAATGCGGGTGTTATCATTTTATGTTTGTCAGTAGGTTTCACGTGTTCAGTGTTTCCCTCAGTGACACACACTCACGCTGCCGTTACTCACTGTCCGTCCTTTAGCTCTGAGGAGGAGGATGACGACTGGTGTCCTCCGCTGCCTGCCAGAACCTACCTGATGGACACATCCAGGGAGGAAGTGTCCAGCCTGCCCTCCAAACCAGACGCAGCAACACTGCTGACATCCCCGCAGCGAGACACACACAAGCCCAGCGACAGCCCGCGGCTACAGCACTTTGACCTCTTGGCCCGTCACCACAGTTCCCAGGTCTCCCAGTCCAACCCAGATCTGTTTACCAACACCAAGGCCCGGGATGGCAGTGAGGTGTACCACACCAACCAATGGGCAGACAATTTCAAGGGGGAAAGTCTTGACAAAGGTCAGCTTGAATTCAGTTTAATGTGGCACATCTTTGGAAATTGCTTCCCAAGAGGCAGCGCACAACCACACAGTGTCATGTATAATTTAGTTTATGATATCACCTCACAGAAAGTATTTGTACACGAAAATCATGTCGCATTTATTCAAAGTGCAGCTCAGTGTTCCTTAGTTTCCTCTAAGTGTCCTGAGGATGACATCAGTGTGCTTCCTTGTCAGGACAATCTCCTGCTCCAGCTGGCGAGTCGAACCCCGCAGCCCAGGCACACAGATCCAGGAGTAAGAAGAAAACGCCCAAGGAAGGACAACTCAAGCGAGAGCTACACAGCCAAGCAGGTATGACACACTGTAACACATCTGACGTTGTGTTTTGGGTGAAAAAAAATTAAATGGGAATATTACTGTTCATAAGACTCTTTTGATATCAATCAATGATATTAATCTTCTCTTGTAACTTGCAGCAAAACTGTCAAACTATTCTTTTCCTGTAGTTTTTCTCTCTGTGGTGCATTAATTATCAATGATCAATCATATGCAGAACTCCCCCCTCCACCAGCCCCTACTTCTACAGACGACTCCCTGCAGCTCTGGGCAGATGTTTTGACCCGCAGCCGAAGGGACAGTGAAAGCAAAGAGGGCAGTGACTCGCCTACTCTCCAGAGGAGGGAAGAACATTTCTCCCAACAAAAGAGAGGAACTACAAAGTGGTTATCACAGGGTTAGTACGATATGTCATATTCACCGCTGTAACATCATTCAGTATCTGTCAACAGACTAAAAAAGATAATCTGTGAAAAAAGAACAATTTCCCTCCCTGCAACACATGCCATCTTGCCTCAACAGCTGGATCTCAAATAGATGTGTATTAATATTATTGTGATGCTTTATGTAAATCCCTTTGAGCTTAGAAAGAACCAAATGCCACCAGCGTACGAACGCATATTATCCCGTAGTAATAGCTCTGCTTTTAGTAGCAGGGGGTCTATTTTCAGTCTGCTGCATCACTTAGGATTTAACCTATATAAATACAGCTGTAACTTTGAGTGATTTGTTTGTCATCTGCAGATGAGAATGTAATCCCATATGGACAGTCCAGCTTCCTGCCCAAGGTCCAGATGTCAGGCTACGGGTCCCTGGGTGGAGGAGTCTTTCCGCGACCCTCCACTGCCGGCCGCAGGAGAGATGAGGTTTGTGTAGACAGTAGGAACAGCTGAAGAGACACTGTCTGCATAGTGAGGGTCACAGACAGTTCATCAATAAACTGAGAGCAGTTTTAGCAGCTTCTCAACTTCCTTGAGACAGTGAATGGTTTCCTATGGCTTTTGGACAAAGGCCAATATTTAGTTATCCCACACTCAAGAAGAGTTTCCAACTGTCTCTAAGATGAATCTCCTGTCACAAAACAGGGGATTGCAAGATTATTTGGGCTGCTGTTCAAAACTCTCTTCAAGTTTTCTTGTGTGTGTAAATGTAGAGTATGCACATGAACAAGGGTGGTGTTTTAAAAAGGCACGTATTCTTTAATATATGAGGATGAAATAAATCATTAAAGCAAAGCTGCACTACACCCAAAGTCTGTCTGTTGAAATGAATCTCACTTCCTGTCCGCTTGAAAGATGGTAAAATGTTTGAGGTTTGCACAGTGACAGGGAGGAGGAAAGTGTAATGAGCTCGATTTCAAGGAGGCTGGTGACGTAATGTTTTCACAGGTGAAAAAAAGAGATCAGGATGTCAGTAGAAACCTTACAAGCCAGCTATGCATCCATTTATATGTTGAGTATGTCAGGTATCACTTTAAAGCTCATTTTGAAAGGATGGTTCAGCACCTCTTTTTGAGATATTTGTCACTTTACTGTTTTTTCATTTATGTGAAGAGTTAGTTATACAATAACAACATTTATCAAATAGATACAGTATAATCTCAGCTACACAGGAAAGTAGGATTACTTCTCTACTGCATTAAAGCGTGACCCATATTTAAGCACCGCAATATTATCACTCCAATATTATCACAGACAGTTTTTACTCTTCACTGCATATTGATTTTGGCATACAGTGTATGTCAGTTGATAAGTAACAAGAAATTGCAGAACAGAACCATTACATAAGTCAAGTTAATTGCAAATTAAGCAGATTAATGCACATTTCTGTCCACTACTGTTAAAGTGACTATTAGGAGTTGGCTCATGGAAATAAAAAGGTGGTGGTGCTAATTCTCCAGTCGGCTGCCATTAAACCATTTCAGAAGAAGAGGACACACATGAGACATGACATAATTCATGGTCAAACCCTCAAACGGACAAAACAATGTGGAAAACATGATATGACATTCATGTTTGTTTCATATATTAATTTGAGGAAGGCAGCAATCTCTTCATTGCTCTAGGTACATTACATCTGATGTTTTCGTCTCTCCAGTGGAGCAGAAACTTCAGGGGAAGTTTACTTACATACTTCATATATGTAATGATTTTTCAACTTTGATATTTCGATTTCTTTTTCAAATTATTGATGTTTCCACCCAGGTTTTTCATGCAGAAATTGAAAGTGTGCATAAAAGCAGGTGATAGAAAAGCATCGAAAAAAAAAAAAAAAAAATTATTTAAAAAAAGAAAAAACCCATATCAGAAATATGGTAATGCTTTATTTTAAAAGGTCTTGAAATTACAATTTAGTTTGGTACTAATAACAGAAAAAGTCTGACACTGTTATGTTGGTTTGATTTGTTGTTTTGAGTTTATTATTGACATCCAGATGAATTTCCATGACAGAAATTTAATTTAAACTGCAGTGAATATTCATTAGTCATTCATTTATTATTGGAAACTTAATTCTTAATTTATGCTTGTATGTTTTTCTCTACACACATTTCACATGATTAGCTCTCCTGTTATTCCCTGAATAAAAGCCTCAAAGTTGAGCTATAAATAACTGGAGGTGCACCAACTGATCACTCGCTATTTGACCTGTTATTAGAACAAAATATGTGGTTCTTTCCAGGAAAATTCTTAGAAGATTATTTGGAATAAACTTGAACCTGTAGAATAAAGCATTACCAAAATGCTGCTTGCTCAGTGTATGTATATGAATAAAAATATTGATCAGCCTAAAAAACAATCCATCATCGGTCAGGCTCTACACTATTAAACAACCTCCGTGTTTCTGTAGCTAACCTGTGTTTAAATGACGCTGTCAGTAAAGTCACCTGCACCTGTTCAATTACTCTCTGTGTTGTGTGTTTTCTTTCCAGAACCTCATGTAGACGGAAGCTGATCTCCTTTTTACCCTCTGATTTCCTGTGTTTGCAAACCATCACTCTGTTGCCATGGTATCTTATGAAAAGCTGAAGACAAAAGGGAAAGCATCAAGGCTTGCCATCTGCCTTTTCACCAACTATTTGTATTCTTTTTTTAATTTTATTTGAATGATTTAATCTTTATTTTTTTGTGATTCCCTTCAACCCTCGTTCATGTATATAGACATCTTTACAATTTTTTAAAAGATGTGTTCAGATATATTACTAAAAATGGATCCGAGGGGGGGCGAAAGTATTGTATTTTTAGGCAATGGGAAGTAAATGTAACTATTACATCATTGTACAGCAGATTATTGAATGTATCTTCTGTTTACTCCTGACCATGAAACCACGATGTGAACCACGACGTGTGTGTGTTTAATGACAGGCCGAAAAAGACAAGAGGTAGAAAATTTGTCAATAACCCATCATGTTGGTCTGGGTGTGTGTGTGTGTGTCTGGGTGTGTGTGTGTGTGTGTGTGTGTGTGTGTGTGTGTGTGTGTGTATGTGTGTGTGTGTGTGTGTGTGTGTGTGCCAGTGCATGTGTGTAGTGTTTGTGTGTGTTACTGTTTTTATCTCTCATCTCTGTGTGACTGTGTACTGTGGTATCCCTGTAGATCACCAGTGTGTTGTCAAGCTTTTTAAACTGACCAATAAAACATTTGTTACAGAAATGTTTCTGTCCATGTGTAAATTATAATGATTACATGAGGATGACTAAAGCATTTTTAGCCATGGCAGTGTCAGAACAGTTTGTCACTCCACCACTTTTGGACTGACATATCTCAGAAATTATTAGTTGGATAACCATGAAATTTATTTCACTCATTCTGTATCTTAATCAGAATGATCTGTAATTATCCTTTGTGCACATGATTCAATATTTCATGCTCGCTAATTAATATTTGTTGCATATGATTTACTTAATTATCCTCTTAATTTAGTATTTTATAATTTGCCTCTGCCTTTGGCATGGCACATTCACTCAGCCAAAAGTTAGAAGTAAGCTAATAAGACATTTACGAACCACTGGAAAACCCTGAGGCTGAGTTTTTACAAACTACACGACATCCGCTCTAAGTTCTTATGGCAAAACAGTCTGTGATCTTGTAAAATACACCTAATGGCTTGCAAAAATAATATGTTGTATTTAACAACCAAAATCTGAAGTGCACATATCCACATATAGGTCCAAGTTTAAAATAAAACTATTAAATCCAGTCAAAGTGAGTGAAGAGAAGAAGACAAGACTGAAGGTGATAAATTATGTTAAATCAAACTGTTCTCAAACCCAGTGCCATCAGCTGCAGCTGATACTGTATATTTAGTGCTAAATGTTAGCATGCTTACATAATAAACTAATTTGGTGAACATGGTCAACATTATACCTGCTAAGCATTAGCATGTCAATATTGTCAGTGTGAGCAGTGTTAACACACTAGCGTTTATCACAAAGCATGGCTATGACTAAGTACCTGCTGCCAACATGAGTCTTAGTTTTGTTATGTAAAATAGAATAAATATTTCAGAATTATGTGACATTTATCTCAGGATTTGTTTTACAAAATTTGCAGATATTTGTGATGAGATCAAAGTGAACAACAGCTGTCTGGTCCTCTTGGTGACATGAAAGTAGGCATATGTGTGTTGGATAATTCAGATACCCCTCCAGAACAGGAGTAGCAACAGAACACAAAGACTGAGAGGACAAAAAGAAGACAGAGGAGTGAGCTCAAATTTTTTCCATCAGAGCCAAACGTCCCCGAGGTCTGAATGAAGTCAGAGTGTGTTGTCTCATGTTTCCAGTAAAATGACTTCTCTGATACGAGATACTGAGCATGATTTGATGGTTTCTTCAGATAGCAGTATTGTGAGAAGGCATGTTTGTGAATATCGCTTGATGAGGGGAGGTAGCCTTCATCTCACTGTACAATTCCTGAAATTTGACAACTTTGGGATTTGAAAGGCTGTTTTCATGTCTGCACCTTCATCTGCTGAATGTGCCTGGTGTGGAAACTGAGTTGGACTCTACTGCCACTGGCAAACACCCACTGGGTCCCACCATGCCAGGAGGATAATGGTAATCCGATGCAATTTAGAGGGCTTCTACAATTTTATGCTTTTAGGCCTGTAGTGTGGATTATGGTCCCTGAGGTTTACACCACCACCACCACCCTCCTGCACGCACTCAGCCCAACCAGCCAGTGTGTTACTGAGGCCACGTCACACATGTCCACAAATGTACTCCACTGGAAAATTTTCCACATCAAACTGTAAATTGCATATTGGACCGCAATTGGCTCCCATACTAGTTGTAATATTGTTCTTACACATCATAAACTCAGATTTAAGGTGAGCAGAGAGAAACTTTCCCCTCTCTGCAGATGAAGAGCTTTCTTATAACGGCTATTGGTAGGACCCAGTTGCAGCACCACACACACACCACAGGTAAGATTGGTAATGATCTTTAATTATGAACCAGCAGAGAGAATACACACAGGTGGGTATTAGGGGTAGAGGAAGGGGTCCGGGGCTGGAGAGCCGTGGATCAGGTGAGTGGAGCGAGGTGACTGAGCTGACACACACACAGGGGAAAGTTCGTGGACCCGAAGGCTGGGGCTGGCGGTGTCGTGCGTTAGGGAGCAGGCTGGAGACGTCGTTGAAGAAGCAGGAGGATCAGAACCAGGTGAACAGTCGGCGGGGCAGACGAACCAGGAAGGAGCAGGCAGGCGGGTAATCACAGCCAGACGAAGGATCTGGAAACCAGCAGGGAAGCACTCACGTTGCGACGCTGGAGCTGGAGAACGCCAAACAGCCGCAGGGACAGGCAGACGGGGACCAGGAAGCGCACAGGCAGAACTCGTGGTCGAGGACAGAAGGCTGAGGCGTTTACAGGGGCAGAGAGACAGGGCAGGATGGTCAGGGACGAGCAGAGTCGATACAGGAAAGTCAGTCCGGAGAAGAAGTCTTGCATGACACTAAGAACAATCTGGCAAAGAGCGAGTGAACCGGGGATGCATATATACTGGCCTGGAGATGGAGATGGAGATGGAGTGCAGCTGGGGGCAACAGGTGAGGACAATGAGGCTGATTAGAAGGTGTGGCAGAGTGGAGAGTGAAACAGAGGCAGGGTGAGTGGAAAAACACAGAGGTATAGCAGGCTTTGACATTTCTAGTGTCATATTCTGCACATACATCATTCTGTACAGAGAAGCTCAAACGTCCAAGTGAGGCAACAAAAAGCAAAACACAGTTTTGAGTGGAGGGGGGACTCAAAATCTGCATAATATGATGAACTAAATCACAAAAATCATCTACAAGAGTGATTTCCATCCGTGGTTACAGTACATGTGCCTCAGGGGGTAGCTCCGTGTGCAGTTGCAAAGTGGTACATGGAAGATGGTTGAGTACGTAAACTAATTTTAAAAAAGGTGAAATTATGGGTAATGCTTTATTTTACAGGTCCGTATATTCAAATGTATTTCAAAACAATCTCCTAAGACATTTCCTTGAAATAACCATACAATTTAGTACAAACTACAGGTAAAAAAAAATCCAAAATCTAAAATATGATTTTATAAAATGCAGTGGCAAATAAAAAAACTTGAAAAAAAAAAGCCTTCACTTTATATACTGCCTTCTGCATCAGTAAAGGATGACTAAAAAAGGAAAATTGTATTTGGGGTGAGATAAAAGGACACAGATAACTATCATGTCTGACTGAGCAGGTAAAATCCATAATCAACATTTACAGAACATGAATATATGAATGAGTAGAAATAGTTCTGTGGCAAAAAAAAAACCTATTCGTGAGAGAAAATCGAAACACTTATTCAACCTTTGCTGCAAGACTAAATAAAAGGCACCACCTAGTGGTCGTAACTGAGACAACATGATGCCCAGTGACACCTTGTATTTTATTTATGGTTTTTACTAAATGCTCTTGAACTCAAAGGTGCTGCACTTGGTGTGAAATCAGATGTAAATTAGCAGGAGATACACTGACTGATATCTATAATAAAGAAAAGTAGGGTTACTTCACAAAGGGGACAGAGACATATTGTTTCAGGGTTTAATTTAAAACCATTATTTTAGAACAGCATGAAAAGACAACAGGAAGCAACAGATAACTAATAGCGTGTGTCAGCTGGTCAGTTGCATTAATTACGTTAACGATGTCACAGCAGACATTTTGACTGGTCATAGTACATAAAACACAGGTGTTACTGATAACCTGAACGATCTTTGGTTGTGTTCAAGGTCCCAGTGAGCCAGAGGTAAACAAATCCAGCTCGCCAACCAAAATATTTGTCCTCTGAGGTAAGCTGAAGTTTTCACTTTTATAGTTTTAATTAAAATTTTTGCATGGTTTGTCATAAATCTTTTTTTATCCTCTAGATAACAATATACACAATAAAGCTAAAACTGCAATAATTGCTGCAGTTTTCCTTGACGTGTGACAGTAAACCAGCATGTACGATACCAACACCCTGAAACTGAAGGAGCTACATGGAATTCTGTGAAATTAAACCTGCGCTGCAATAAAGGTTATTGAACATCAACACAAAGCGGTCTGAACAAGGAGACCGAAGTAAAATTAATTCTTTTTAAGCACTGGTCTAAAAGCTTCAGAGGAACTGATATTGTTATTGTAGTACCTTTTTACTGTTCCACACAAGTTTCATCAGACTTTACATACACATACTTTCATTTATTAACTCACTTCTGTTAAAAGAGTTGCATTTTTGCACTACGTGCACCACAACCCTGTACAATTCATAACAATATATGTGAAACTGCAGTAGGTTTGTCCAGCTCTTGTTTGTATGTAATAGCCCAATGTTTATATTTGTTTAGCTTGATATCTTTTACTTTTGTCTGTATCTGTATTGTCCTGTAACTTTGTCTGGGCTGTGTATAAGTATATTGAGAATTACTGAGAAATGGGGTCAAGTTCCCTGTATGTGTCACATGTTTGGCCAATAAAGTTCTGATTGATTTCAGCTGAGTAATCAGCGGACATGCCTGGTATTTATGAGCGGATGATGGTTTTAAAGTAAAACTGAAAGCTTAAAGGGGCAAATGTTCCAGACTTTTTTTTTGAGTAACTATGTTCTTGAATGTGCGCTCTTTCCGATTTATTCTCAACTTTTCATAATTGAATATACCAGTAGCTTTGATCATGTTGTTTTCCTCTCTTTAATCTCCTGCTCTCTCTACAAGGTGCTCCAACAAAGATAAATGACTTTTATTGCAGCTTTTTCACCAAAACTGTACAACGCTACAACTCTATTAGCCACCCACCTACCAGCTCATCATCCTCTGCTCCGTCAGAGTAACCATATGCATTGTGTCCTGTGATTAAATGCTGTTGGCTGTGTTCAAGTTCACCACTATACGTGTTTTATTCTATAAATGTCTGAGCAGTTTTTCATCTGTTAATAAATGAATTCCTCTGGCTGTGCCAATTAAATGAAGGGTACTTAAAAATATGAGACTAAATGTAAAATTGATGGATGAACCCGCAGTTTGTCTTTTCACAGTTATTATGAGAGATGGAAAGACATTAAAAGCACATTTCTCTGAGTGCAGATCCTTCATCATTTCTACCACATGCCTGAAAAAAAAGAAATGTTGGATTCACTTTTATGTAGATGAGCACATTGCGCAATTTGAATTACAGAAATATGTATACAAGCTGGCACAGAGATTTGTATTTAAAGACAGAAATGACCTGATATTTACTGAAAATAGTGTTGCTTTACCATTAGCATAACAAGCAGGATTTACCAGAAACATATGAACTGGAATATAATTAGGAAATGAGTTTTTACATATTTACCATTTTAAATAATCTCTGTTAAATGAATTTTTCCACAATACTATGGGTAAGCCTATTTCAGGCTGTGAGTTTACTGTGGGTGGTTGTGCAGCATTTTGAATTAAAAGCCCTGTGTCATCAGTATTACTGAGATGTGCACAGCGCTTTAACAGTTTTGTATTTTCAGCAGATTCCCTAAAACACAAAACTCATCCTCTGTGATTGGTTGTGGCTCAGCATGCCCCATTGTTCCATCAGCCCGTTTGTTCGCTTGGTTTCCTACGCACAAACAAAACTTTCCTGCTACCCTGGGCAATATTGGGCTCCTCTGTGCTTTGACAACCCGAAATATTGGAATCTCTGACTTTTTCTGAAGGGGAAAAAAGATAAAGGTATGTAATTAATATGAAAACATAATGTGTGAAATGTTATGTGCATACATTATGACATTCTGTATTTCACAGAGATAAAAACTGATTTTTTTCTGCATTTGGTGGTTAACCGCTTGAACCCTGATTTTCCTTAAAATAGCTTTAAAATAAGTGTGAAAACCCAATTTTAAAAAAATAAAATATTAAAACAATGTACCATGTTTTTACACCATTGACTCTAGTTGGAAAAAATATACTTCAAAGATTGTGCATTATTTTATACACATTCTCATGTGTTCTTTTTTCTCCCATTCTTGAGCATGCCATATGTGGTGTTTTTAGAAACCCTATGTTCTTGGTAAGAATTTAACATAAATATCTGGGTTTGAAAAATGTTTGTCAGCACAACAAAAAGTGTTAGAGGTTAATGACTTGTCAGACTGAGCTGACTGCTAATGAGTAATGTTTCTATAAACAGATCTGTCTAGCTCCAGCATAACATTTGTGGCATCCTGCCAAATGTTTTTAGATATTGTTTTATTCATGTCTAGTGCTGTGCTCTGTAACAGGAAGTACCCACTGTAATTGGTTCAGCTGGGGCCAAATGTGACGGGGCCCTGACCTGCACTGTTTTCTCTCTCTCTCTCTCTCTCTCTCTCTCTCCCTCTCTCTGTCAGTCAGTGTTTTTTGTCAGGATGTACAGCTTCATGGGAGGTGGGTTGTTCTGTGCCGGAGTTGGGAACATACTCCTCATTGTCTCCACGGCAACCGACTACTGGATGCAATACCGTCACTCCAGCAATTATATGCACCAGGGCCTGTGGCGGTACTGTGTGCCTGGGAAATGCATGACACACACAGACAGCATTGGTAAGACTCGTTTGCGTCTTCCACAGCATGTGAGCAGGCAGGCAGATCCTCATTTATATTTATTAAGTCGCTGACAATCAGCCCGTGACCTCGGCACTAACCCTGATCAGCACTGGGGTTACTTCCCTTTGGGGAATTTTTGGGGTGTTTCAAGTGCAGACTCACTTTTTTTTTTAAGTCTATCCCTATTTTATTCCTGTTAGACACAAAAGTTTCATTTTTAAGTCATTTATCCTTTGTTTGAAGCAACAACTGGGGTACTAAGCCATTTCCAAACACTAGATGGCAAACTAGAGCTGTCTCCTAGATAGATGAGGAAAAGCATGAATAAACATAACTTGAGTTTGGTGTATGACTCTGAATTCTTTTAGTACTGGGCCTTCTTTTAAGCCTGCTCTCTCAGGTCTCAGACCTCCCTTGTATATTCTCACCCACAGCGTATTGGGATGCCACCCGGGCCTTCATGATTCTTTCCCTGCTGGCTTGTTTCATTGGCATTGTGATCGGAGTCATGGCCTTCATCCACTACTCCTCCTTTGACGGGTTTGATAAGACATTTGCAGCCGGCATCCTCTTCTTCATCTCCTGTAAACTCCTCACCTCATTACATACATGCAAGTCTATCATTAAGATGTTTATCATTTCAACCTCATGATTTAATTTTTTTTGCAGGCTTCTTTGTGTTGCTGGCCATGGCTGTCTACACTGGAGTGACAGTGAACTACTATGGTAAACGCTATGGCAGCTGGCGGTTCTCCTGGTCCTATATAATGGGCTGGGTGGCAGTGGTGCTCACATTCTTCTCAGGTATGCATCCTACCACCAAGACTTGTTGTTGTTCACACTACATATTCTACCTCTTCTCTTGATAATCATATTGCTTTCTTCCAGGTATCTTCTACATGTGTGCCTACCGGATGCATGAATGCCCAAGAAACTCTAACTCACGCTGACCTGCCAAAGACTGCCAAAGACAACACTGGTCCATAATATACGACCGAGAGGAACCAATATCCCAATGAACTTTCCAACTTCCTGTTAAACTAAATATTCATGATGAAGCAAAATAAATAAGAAAAACAATGGCTTTGTTGTCTACTTTGTCTCTCTGCATTAATAAGACTTTAAAATATCGATGTACAATACTATCTGTGACACCAGTATCGGGCCTCATGTGACTGTACTTGACATCAGCAAGTGAATTTGTTAGTTTAAGACAAGTTACTGTTTAGAGTCGTATATCTGTGTATGGAAGATGTAATTATTTCCATTTGTAGCAGTAAAACTGGGGGTGTTTTTTACAAAGTTATGAGTAAAGAGCTAAATGACACACGTGATCATTTAATTTCATGATGTTCTACCAACAACAGCATCAATGTCCTATTTAAAAACTAAGTGAACCTGAGCTCAACAAAGACAATCTTTATCACTTGATGAAGTGCTTAATAAATCTTTATCACTGTTGAGGGAGTATTGTAGCAGATGTTATAGACAAGGGTGTGGGTTAGCTTTCAGAAGTTTAAGGACACAATGAAGTGGTCAAAAATTATGAAACAAAATGCATTTAAATGTCTGTATTGCAATCTTATAGACAGATAACATTTTTACTGCAAAATCCACTCCACTTTACAATCTTATTATTTATTTTATTTTTTTTTACGTGTCTTTTCAGGACAATACTAGTTGTAAATAAAATATAGACTAACTAAGTCTAACTGAAGGAGGACCACATGACTGTATTAACTCGGATCTTCTCTCATCCCTCTTCCTGTCTCAACACCTAAAATCAACAGCAGTGTATATTGTCATTGTAGCTGCTGTAAGGTGATGAAAAGAAAAGGTATGAGTCCAAAATGCAAAAAGCTTTTATTTATTCTTTAGTTTCAAAGTATTGCACAACATCCACCATTTCGGCCACAAAATCAGCTCATGGAGAAAAAAATCCTGCTGTGGTAATGCAATCATGGACTGGTTTAACAAAATGCAACATAGACTCCTGGAAAAACTGCCAATCAAAAAAGCTACAGTGGAAGTGCTGCCCTAAGTCTGGCATAAAAATATGATCAGATAGATCCCAATAGAGGCGTGGTAAATGGTTCTGAGTATAACGATTTAGATAACTGTGATATTATGAACATGATCACCCTCCACACTAACCTCGAAAGAAGAAAGAGAACAAGCTCATGCAAGTCTAGGCAACCTCTAGTTTAGTCGACCTCCTCGATGGTGGGGCCAGAGGATGCTCCTCCTCCAGGAGGACCACCAGCTCCGGGGAAACCGCTTGGCATCCCTCCTGGCATTCCCCCCGGCATCCCACCTGCACTCTGGTACAGCTTGGTCATGATGGGGTTACACACCTTCTCCAGTTCTTTCTGCTGGTGCTCAAACTCATCCTTTTCTGCAGACTGAGAAAAGAAAGAAGGGACATTTCAGTATCAATCTGATGTCAGTCTGACAATTATTTTAACACTTAAGCTGTCAAAGTTTACAACCACAAAACTGGACTATACTTCTGACCTATACCTGGTTTTTATCGAGCCAGCTGATGACCTCATTACACTTGTCCAGAATCTTCTGTTTGTCCTCATCGCTAATCTTGTCCTTCAGCTTCTCGTCTTCCACAGTAGACTTCATGTTGAAGGCGTAAGACTCTAGACCGTTCTTGGCAGCCACCTTCTCTCTCTGCACATCATCCTCAGCCTTGTACTTCTCCGCTTCCTGGACCATACGCTCGATGTCCTCCTTGCTAAGGCGACCTGAGCAGCAGCAGTGCATGAATGAATGCATGAATTTAATAATGTACTAATCTCACATTTATGATTGATTAGATACATTGTATTACTTTATATGTTACCTTTGTCGTTAGTGATTGTGATCTTGTTCTCCTTCCCAGTGCTCTTGTCCACCGCAGACACGTTCATGATGCCATTAGCATCAATATCAAAAGTCACCTCAATCTGAGGAACCCCTCGGGGAGCAGGGGGGATTCCAGTCAGCTCAAATTTCCCCAAAAGGTTGTTGTCTTTGGTCATGGCCCTTTCACCCTCAAACACCTGTGAAAATAACATCAGGTCAACCCATCAATGAAGATTTGTTTGAAATTTAAGACCTTCTCCAAAATAATTAAGTGTTTTTTTTAGCTAAATACAGGAAAAAGCAGTGGTTGTCATACCTGAATGAGCACACCAGGCTGGTTATCTGAATAGGTGGTAAAAGTCTGGGTCTGCTTTGTGGGGATGGTGGTGTTCCTCTTGATGAGCGTAGTCATGACTCCTCCAGCAGTCTCAATGCCCAGAGATAAGGGGGTGACATCGAGCAGCAGCAGGTCCTGCACATTCTCAGACTTGTCACCTGACAGGATGGCTGCCTGCACAGCTGCAAAACAAATTAATAAATGTGTAGCTTTTTATTATTACAAGTTAGAACCATTATATTTATGGCCAAACAGGGACCACACCTGCACCATAGGCTACTGCTTCATCTGGGTTAATGCTCTTATTGAGGTCCTTCCCGTTGAAAAAGTCCTGCAGAAGCTTCTGGATCTTGGGAATACGAGTGGAGCCTCCCACCAAGACAATATCATGGATTTGAGCCTTGTCCATCTTGGCATCTCGGAGAGCCTTTTCCACAGGCTCCAGGGTTCCTCGGAACAGGTCTGCGTTCAGCTCTTCAAACCGGGCTCTGGTGATTGAGGTGTAGAAGTCGATGCCCTCGTACAGAGAATCAATTTCAATGCTGGCCTGGGTGCTGGATGACAAGGTGCGCTTGGCCCTCTCACAAGCTGTGCGCAGACGACGCACCGCCCTCTTGTTGTCGCTGATGTCTTTCTTGTACTTGCGTTTGAACTCAGAGATGAAGTGGTTGACCATGCGGTTGTCAAAGTCTTCTCCGCCCAAGTGTGTGTCGCCTGCTGTGGACTTCACCTCAAAGATGCCGTCTTCAATGGTCAAGATGGAGACATCAAATGTGCCGCCGCCCAGGTCAAAGATGAGGACGTTTCTTTCAGATCCAACCTGTAATTTGAAATGATTTAACCGTAATTTGACAAGAGTATTGGATACATCCACTTCTCAAACTTCACGTTGAAAGTCTACATTACTTCAGTAGTTATAAGTACATAGTACAGGTTGGACACACTGTAACAAAAATCTTTAATAGTTAAAAACTTTACCTTGTTGAAACCTTTACCCTAATAATTATTTTACCTTTTTGTCCAGGCCATAAGCAATAGCAGCAGCAGTCGGCTCATTGATGATACGAAGCACATTAAGCCCAGAAATGGTCCCAGCATCTTTGGTAGCCTGGCGCTGAGAGTCGTTGAAGTATGCAGGCACAGTCACTACAGCATTTGTTACAGTCTGCAAAAAGGAAATGGTTGCATGTAACAACAATTAATGGGAAATTAATAACATTTTGAAAAGTAGTTATGCATTTTTTCATCGTATTATTTTTATTTTTATTTTACAGATCTCTAGATTAAAACAGCAGAACTGGTAAACAAGACACAAATAGAGCAATGTCCTCTTTATATCTTGCAGTCAAAATAATGGGACTGGAGTTGGTTAAGGTGTGTATTACTCATGCAAACCTCCATGTCTTTAATCAAAATATAAAAAATTGTAAAAATGTATTTTGTAAAAACTAAAGCACACAGGTGTACCTTGCCAAGGTAAGCCTCTGCAATCTCCTTCATTTTCAGCAGCACCATGGAGGAGATCTCCTCTGGGTAGAAGGTCTTGGTCTCACCCTTATACTCCACTTTTACTTTGGGGCGTGAAGCATCATTAATGACTGTAAAGGGCCAGTGTTTCATGTCTGACTGGACAACAGTATCATCAAAGCGACGTCCAATAAGACGCTTTGCATCTGAGAAGCAAAAGGATGACATTAATAACCAGAAACAACTAATCATACTTGATTTTTCTAGAAAAAAAAGTCATACCAAATACTGTGTTGGTGGGGTTCAGTGCCACCTGATTCTTGGCTGCATCGCCAATCAGCCTCTCAGTGTCGGTAAAGGCTACATAACTGGGCGTGGTCCTATTTCCCTGGTCATTGGCAATGATTTCCACCTTGCCGTGCTGGAACACTCCTACACAGGAGTAGGTAGTGCCCAGGTCAATACCAACTGCTGGTCCCTTAGACATGGTTCCTGAGAATATGAAAGTAATCAGTAGTTAATCATACACTGGCACTGAACTGAAAATCTGGATGTATGACACATGAGTAACTTAAGCTCTCCTTGACTGCTATGGTGGCTACTATGATGCACATTTGTTGTATAGGGTAATGAGGCTATTATCAGAGTCTGAGCTGCTCAAACAGAAGTGGAAAAAAGCTGCCTCAGTGAAGTGAGGGTCCACAGCACCTGTTTTCAAGCCTCCCCACTTTTGACAGCTTGGCAACGGCTGCCTTTATTATGGCAACAACAGAAAACAGGGAGGCAACAGCCTTTTCTAGGAAGCAGGTTTTCAGTAGCCTGATTGATAAGCTGATCACCTTTCTTTGATGAATCGATGATCAAATGCATAACTGGTCTGATTCATGCTCTTCCGGCGTGCGCATTTGCTGCTGTTCTTTGTCTTATGTGATGGTAAACTGAATATATTTGGGTTTGAGACAAAACAAGCAACTATAATATGTAAACTTGAGCTCTAGGACCTTGCTAGTTTCTATTTCATTATAAATATTTATATATTAAATACTGTTCAGAGGTAGAATTGGTTTTATTCGTTGCCTGGATAATTTGCTGATAAAAACCATATCAACTCTGGAAAAGGAGCTGATGATTTGTTCCTAAATTGACTCAGCAACAAAATTGTCACGATGACTCAGTGAGCAGTAACTTCTTGGAACTGTTTTTACTGTTGCTACAGTAGCAGAAGATCAATATACTGTAATGTTAGCCTACTGTTAAGCCACATGGGAGGTCACTACACCTAAAGTAGGGAATGGATCTCATGTTGGTGTGGTGG